GCTTCAAACTACAAGAAAGGAGATTCCATCTGAACATTAGGAAGAACTTCCTGACTGTGAGAGCTGTTCAGCAGTGGAACTCTCTGCCCTGGAGTGTAGTGAGTCGCCTTCGGGCTGATATGAGCGGGGTAAAAATAATGCAAATAAATAAATAATTAAATAAATAGTGGAGGCTCCTTCTTTGGGGGCTTTTAAACAGAGGCTGGATGGCCATCTGTCGGAGGTGCTTTGAATGCGATTTTCCTGCTTCTTGGCAGGGAATTGGACTAGATTGTCCACGAGGTCTCTTCCAACTCTATCATTCTATTATTCTAAGAGCTGTTTGGCAGTGGAATATGCTACCTTGGAGTTTGCTGGCATCTCCTTTTCTGGAGGTTATTAAGCAGTCTGGATGGCCATCAGTTGGGAGTGCTTTGATGGTGTGTCCTGCAATGTAGAAAGTGGTTGGACTAAATGGCCCTTTGGGATCTTTTCCAGCCCAGTGACACATGACTTAAGGAAACCTGCTATATTTCAAAATTAGAATTGACAAATAAATGATGGGGCCTTGTTATTGAGAATGATCCTTCCCAGAAATCTAGTGTTTGCCAAACAGAAGATGGGCACTTTTCAAGAAAATGAGAGCAACACGTTCACAAATAGCAAAACACTTCTGTAGAGTGTGTTTGGACTCATTCATGCTAATTCATTTCTAAGATGGTTTCATGAACATATTAGGCTTTATTTCAATCAGATTCCAAAAAAATAAACCCTAAGGAAAACAGACAACAGCACTGGAGAGAAAGGAAGTTCTATGACTTATTGCTGGGTTTAGAAAAGGCAGAGGAACGAGAGACCAGATTGCCAATATCCGCTGGATAATGGAGAAAGGCAGGGAGTTTCAGAAAAACATCTACTTCTGCTTCATTGACAATTCTAAAGCCTTTGACTGTGTGGATCATAATAAATTGTGGCAAGTTCTTGGTGGGATGGGCATACCAAGCCACCTTGTCTCTCTCCTGAGGAATCTGTACAAGGACCAAGTAGCAACAGTAAGAACAGACCACGGAACAACAGACTGGTTCAAGATTGGGAAAGGCGTACGGCAAGGCTGCATACTCTCACCCAACCTTTTTAACTTGTATGCAGAACACATCATGCGATGTGCGGGGCTTGATGAATGCAAAGCTGGGGTGAAAATTGCTGGAAGAAACATTAACAACCTCAGATATGCAGATGACACCACTCTGATGGCTGAAAGCGAGGAGGAGCTGAGGAGCCTTCTAATCAAGGTGAAAGAAGAAAGCGCAAAAGCCGGGTTGCAGCTAAACATCAAAAAAACCAAGATTATGGCAACAAGAATGATTGACAACTGGAAAATAGAGGGAGAAACCGTGGAGGCCGTGACAGACTTTGTATTTCTAGGTGCAAAGATTACTGCAGATGCAGACTGTGGCCAGGAAATCAGAAGACGCTTACTTCTTGGAAGGAGAGCAATGTCCAGTCTCGATAAAATAGTAAAGAGTAGAGACATCAGACTGGCAACAAAGATCCGCCTAGTCAAAGCCATGGTATTCCCTGTAGTAACCTACGGATGTGAGAGCTGGACCTTAGGGAAGGCTGAGCGAAGGAAGATCGATGCTTTTGAGCTGTGGTATTGGAGGAAAGTGCTGAGAGTGCCTTGGACTGCGAGAAGATCCAACCAGTCCATCCTCCAGGAAATAAAGCCCGACTGCTCACTGGAGGGAAAGATACTAGAGACAAAGTTGAAGTACTTTGGCCACATCATGAGGAGACAGGAAAGCCGAGAGAAGACAATTATGCTGGGGAAAGGAAGGAAAAAGGAAGAGGGGCCGACCAAGGGCAAGATGGATGGATGGCATCCTTGAAGTGACTGGACTGACCTTGAAGGAGCTGGGGGTGGTAACGGCCGACAGGGAGCTCTGGCGTGGGCTGGTCCATGAGGTCACGAAGAGTCGGAGACGACTGAACAAATGAACAACAACAACATGACTTATTGCTAACACTGAGACAGACATTCATTTATCATGGGGGTAAGGATGGGCCTCAAGTTCTTTTATGGAGTTCGTTCCAGAAAAATAACTTTCCCCACAAATATAATTGCAGAAAGTTCCCCCCTTTATCAGCTGTTTTAATAAGCACCATAGGCATTTCTGGGAATTTCTGGGAAGGAGCCCCCGGTAGCGTAGTGGGTTAAACCCCTGTGCCGGCAGGACTGAAGACCGACAGGTCGCAGGTTCGAATCTAGGGAGAGGCGGATGAGCTCCCTCTATCAGCTCCAGCTCTTCATGTGGGGACATGAGAGAAGTCTCCCACAAGGATGATAAAAACATCAAATCATCCAGGCGTCCCCTGGGCAACGTCCTTGCAGACGGTCAATTCTCTCACACCAGAAGCGACTTGCTCCTGACACGACAAAAAAAAATAATTCTGGGAATTTAGAGCAGTGGTTCCCAAGCTTTTTTTGACCAGGGACCACTTTGACCAGGGACCACTCTCCAACATTAGTACCAAAAGGGGGTTGAATCACTTTTTGGTTTGGTTATTTGGGGTGCTGATTCAGAAAATTGCATTGGATAGACTACATCAGGTCTAGGTTCTGATACAGAACATATGCCATCCAGTAGTCGCCATCTGCTCGTCCACAGAAAACTATATTTAATAAACCTCGGCTCTATAAGAGGGTTTTGCGATCCCAGTTGCTCTTGTTTCAACAGTTACTGTGATGCCACAGACCATTCTTGTGGACCACAGGTTGGGAACCACTGATTTAGAGGAACAATACAATGGTTTTGAGAAGCCACCTATGTGAACTGAATAACCCACTTTGAGCACTTAAGCTTTTTTGGTTTCCAATAGCATTTTAACAACTCCGTAGGAGATTGATCTGAAACACAGAACATGAAAATAAAGGTGTATAAAAATGCAATGTTGTAACCTAGCATTCATACTAATATGAGATAGTGGTCTATTTATTTTATTTATTGTATCAGGAGCAAACCAAGGGCACCGTTATAATGTATTTAAAAAACACAAAAGTTTAAAAACTTGGCATTATATTAAATGTTTTCTGACCAGTAGCTGGTCACTTGGGAGTGCCTCTGGTGTTGTTATAAGGAGGTCCTCTATTGGGCAAGTGGCAGGGCTCAGGCTGCATTGTAATAGGTGGTCCGTGGTTTGCTCTTCTCCACACTGACATGTCGTGGACTCCACTTTGTGGCCATATTTCTTAAGGTTGGCTCTGCACCTCGTGGTGCCAGAGCGCAGTCTGTTCAGCACCTTCCAAGTTGCCCAGTCTTCTGTGTGCCCAAAAGGGAGTCTCTCATTTAGTATCAGCCATGGTTTGAGGTTCCCGGTTTTTGCCTGCCACTTTTGGACTCTCGCTTGTTGAGGTGTTCCTGCGAGTATCTCTGTAAATCTTAGAAAACTTTCTTAACTTAAGGCGTTGGCTTACTGGCTAATATCCAGAGGATGGGCCGAAGATGTCACTGCCTTGGTCCTTTCATTATTGGCTGCTACTTCCCGGCGAATGTTAGGTGGTGCAAAACCAGCTAAACAGTACAATTTCTCCAGTGGTGTATAGACACCCTGATTATGTGGCATGTCTCATTAAGAGCCACATCCACTGTGGTGGTCTAGGATTCTGGAAGACCACTGCTCAAATCCCATCTTAGCCATGGAACTCCTGAAAGACAAACTCTTGTCAAGAGGCAAGAAACAGCAAACCATCTCTTAACAAATCTTGCCAAGAAAACCAGGGGATCGAGTTGCTCTAGGTTAGTCTTGAAGGCAGATAACATTCACTGCTCTTGGCTCATCGTGTTAAATAAGGCAGGTATTTCTACTCCCTGAAACCTCTGTTTTATGGGGGGGATTACAAGAAGTTGGATGTTATGTAAACCATGCTTGATTGTGAAATGTAATTACGAGTGAAAGCAGGCAGAGAGCAGCAAGCAGATGGGTCATTCTAAAGCAGTCTCCGGACCTTTGAGAGCTTCTTGCTGTAATGAAGTCAAGTGGCACGTCAAAAAGATCAGCTGTTTTCAGCAGAAAGCCAAAGGCATGGAGGACTTTAAGACCAATTTAGGGAAAATTCTGGCAGCATGCTGTATAGTCTTTACATGCTATTTAAAAAACTGTCAGAGAGAATGGGAAGGGGTGGAAGAACTTAAATGTATCAGCAGACATTTCCTCAACAGGAATTTTCAATAAGCATACTACATAACGTAGAGTGGAAGTGCTTACGATACACATTATGATTAAGTTCCTGAGCTCTGTGAAAAAACAAAGCTTTGGGGAATCCAGAAAGCACATTTGCCTTAATGTGCTATAGGTAAAGGTTTTCCCCTGACAATAAGTCCAGTCATGTCCAACTCTGAGGGTTGGTGCTCATCTCCATTTCTAAGCCGAAGAGCCAGCATTGTCCATAGATGACTCCAAGGTCATGTGGCCGGCATGACTGCATGGAGCGCCATTACCTTCCCCTTGAAGCGGAACCTATAGATCTACTCACAGTTGTATGTTTTTGAACTTCTCCCACTGTTAGGCTGGGGCTAACAGTGGGAGCTCACTCTGCTCCCCAGATTCAAACAGCTGACCTTCTGGTCAGCAAGTTCAGGAGCTCAGTAATTTAACTTGCTGTGCCACCGGGGGCTCCACGAATGACATTTGTTCTTGGACAAAGAAATTTAAAGGCAAGCAAGGCAGCATATGGACATCTAGACAAGGATGCTAAAGGAACACCTAAAAACTGCAATACATTGTGTGTTTTAGAAAGAAAATTCCCTCCAGATCAGGGGCTCCAGTGGAACATTTAGGACAAACAAAGCCATAATGGAAAAAAATGCTTATGGTTCCGTAGAAAGTGGTAAATTCCACATTAAACAGCAGAGTGCAGTTTTTGCCAGATACTTGAAAAAATAGTCCTGTTCTGCTCAATATGTAGCCAGCATCCAGTAGGAAATAAAGCAGTGTGGTAAAAGAAATGCCAAGGCCAGGTATGTCAGTCACAATCTTTATTTCATGTTTTCACAAGAAGAATACTCCTTATTTTTCATCCTTTCACCATCACGGTAATGATTGGGCAGAAAATTCATCAGTAAATAAATACAAAGCAACATGGGACAACTGAAATGCATCAAATGGAGGCAGCTATGAAAGCCAGAACCTGATAATGCAAAAAGCAGTACTCGTATTAGTGTCAGCAACTGAGCACTGTAACAAAGAGGAAGCTAAGGTTACATTTGATCACAGACATTTACTCCCAAGAATCATTGTGGAATTGCACTTTTTATGAAGACGGCAAAGTCCACTGAATGTGCGTACTTGTGTGGGCTCAATGCTTCTTCTGCAGCTCCTTCATTCTGTTCAGCGCACTTCCAGCTTGGAACCATTCGATCTGAGTCTCATTGAAAGTGTGGTTCAACGTAATTGTCTCTTGGCTCCCATTGGGGTGCTTGATGATGCATTTTAGGGGCTAGTGAGCAGACAAGGAAAATAACAGGCTTAGTTTCAGCATCCGTGATAAAATATATGAAATCACAATCATCCCAGTCAAAAAAATGCATCTTATTTAAAAACATATTTTTTGAAAGTAGGGGTTTGATCTGTGTTTTGTTATAATTTAACTTTCATTTGATTTAAATGATTTTTAGCTCAAGGGCTTACAAGAATATGACTCACTCTATTTACTCCCATAAATAATAATAATAATAATAATAATAATAATAATAATAATAATAATAATAATAATAATACCATCTGCCTGTGATAAAGAACTGGTGGATTCACAAGCCTGAAAAAGTTACGGAAAATGAACATGTTAAACTACTCTGGGACTTCTGAATCCAGACTGCCAGAGTTTTGGAGCCTTAGGGCTGAGAATAGCGGTATACAAATGAAGTAAATAAATAAATATTCCTGACATCACGATCATGGAAAAAAAAACAACAAGTATGGATTCTTGATGTTGCAATCCCAGGTGACAGCAGAATTGATGAGAAGCAACTGGAAAAGCTCACACAATATGAGGATTTAAAGATAGATTTGCAAAGACTCTGGCACAAGCCAGTAAGCGTGGTCCCCGAATAATAATATACAAACGTCAAAGCAAGAGATACTGAAAAATACATCGTCTTGGTTTTTCATACTACAGAACTAAAAAGGCAAGATACAGTTAAAAGCTAGTTTTCGAGAAAGACGTTATTTTCAAGCTACTGTATTCACAAGTAGATACCCTGAAAAACAACAGCCCTTTCTAAATATGTAGCATACAGGAAGTGAAGAAAGGATATGCAATGAGTCAGCAAGCATTACCTTTCCAGGAGCAAAATCTTTCAGGCCCACGATACTAAGCTTGTCCACTGGGTGAATCTTGTCATAATCAGCCGGATCAGCAAAGGTTAGTGGCAGCAGACCCTGCTTCTTCAAATTTGTTTCTGTTCAGAAAAAGTCAGTTTAATTAAAATATCTTAAGACTGCTTTCAAAATGGTATTTGTATCAATCTGTTTCAGCATGAAATGTAAATATAGAAAGAAAAGAAGGAATTTAGCAAAAGAAAATTTTAAACTAAACTGATGTATTTCAGCATGAGCTTTCCTGGCTCCAAGAAAGCTCATGCTAAAACATGTCAGTCTTCAAAGTGCTGTTACATTTCTCTCCTCTTTCTTTCCTTTTTTATTTTAGGTCATACATTCTAGCTGAAAGGCTCAATGTTATTGGTAAATGTTGCAATAAACTTGCACCCTTCCTTCACAAACACCAACAGATATTCGGTGAAGAAAAATACTGTCATGTAATGTCACTATAATAAAGGAAAGCAAGTCTCTTCATCCTACTGAAAATAAACTGTTCACAAAATTTACCTGTTTCAGCCTTGTACTTATCTACTCTTCTACTGCCAATAGGAAGCTGTTACTTTAAAAATACTACTGCATATAGGAGCAGCATTTCAGGAGGAGAGCCAGACAACAAATTAAGATCTGAACATCTAATATTATAGTTTAAGGAGTTTGCATCAGAATAAGGATTCTTCACACACTTATGGAGCAGAATAAACTACTCCACATCTGCATGCTTGTCCACAATGCCCTGCCTTATGCACAGAGGAAAAATTGTTTAAAGCTACAGACAATGCAGTTGCTGTTACCCGTTTCTAGTCTAAAAATATTTAGCCACTTGTGCTCCCTATATTTTATCAGTTTTGTGCTTATTTATGCAATGCTTTTGATACAAAATAAATAAACACACTTGAGACTATCACTTTAGTGGGAAACATGATGGTGATGATTCCTCCTTTCATTCTATGTTGACAAAAATCTGCAAGATATAGTTAGATGCACTAGTGAGCAGATAACATTCTAACTTCTATATTGCAGGATATGATACAAAATATCCAAGGTATACTATAACTGTTTCAATACATACATTTAAAAAAACCTGATTTTCATTTAAGGGAAATGCATAATATCTCAGGAAAGTACCAACTATAGAGGAAGCAGTGAATCTACATATGTACAAGCCTGCAATGTCCCAGAAGATAAGACATTTGTACAAAAACCCAAACTAAGAACCCTCCCCAACAAATTTGACAGTAGCTGCTTGAAAAGAAAAGGATTTTCACCATGAATTCTTGCAAAGCTCTTGACAATGATGGCTCTTCCTCCCAGGTGTCGTGGTTCCAATGCTGCATGCTCCCGACTTGAGCCCTCACCATAGTTTTCATCCCCAACTACAACCCAATTAACACCATGTTTCTGTGGAAACAAAAAACAGGTGCACTCAGATACATTTTTCTTAGGAGTTGCAACTTTTGAATTTTCACCAAGTACTTATAAAAATAGATTATGTTACAAAGTCTTTTGAATAAATAAATGCCCGTATGCTATGAACAATCACTATGGAGAAGTTACCGTCTCAAATGAATAACTATCCCCATATATAGTGATGGTGAGTAGCCAAGAGTTGAACACACTTCCTTTGAGTTCTAGTAGCCAAGAACGTTAGATGAATCCAAAATGATGCTCATGGAAATGTTGGAATTTTCAGTCCCTCTTCCTTGAGGCTCTTTTCAGATACAGAACATGCTTGCATGGATTTTCAGCTCCGGCACCAGTTGTCAAGGTGAAGAGCAGCAGTAGGGAGAGCAGACTGCATTACCTCGGACAATGTATATTACTCTTCCACATGCAGAAGTGCAATGCTGGATACAGCCCTGTGGGCAGGTGTCTGGAGACTAAGAGATGATAAAACACGGAACTGCTGTACACAGAGAAAGACCAATGATCCATTTAGTTTAGGTCTATATATGCCAAGAGAGCACAATCTGTGGCTCTCCAAATGTTGCTGGATTAAGGCATCTGGCAGTAGTGGCTCTATAAGGTTTTCAAAACAAGCACTTGTCCTAGAGATACCAGGGATTGAACATGGGACCTCAAGCATGTGCTTTATCATTGAGGTATGGGCCTCCTGCTATTAGGTGTCAATGTAGAGACCTGCAAGCAATGGAATCCTGACGTTGCAAGATTAACTGTGGTGACAGTAATTCAATATGAGATGAGACTAGGATTACGGATGAGAAGGTAGGGTTGAAATAGAAGAAACAAAGACCTTGTAAAAGCTGTGGCCTACCCAGATCTTCCCCCATTTTCAGTGTTTATTTGACAGTTTGACTGTAATTGTGAAGGAAGAGGGACCACCTCAGCATCTAGTGGCTGAAAGCAGAACAGCAGCCTCTTGTAGCTGCTCCTGCTAATACACTATTGTGTATAAGCAATGTAGGAAGCACACAGCTATTTTATGATCTGCAATCAGAGTGGTACAGAAGGGGCTGCTGACAACAACACCACTCTTTCAAGTGTTTACATTTTAGAAAAAAAATTGTAAAGGGAGCAGCAGCATGTGTGAGAAAGTGGACAGAAACCACACACCTTGGTTCCCACGATGCTATTTACAGAAGTCTTTATTTATTTATTTATTTATTTGCTTTCTTACTTACTTACTTACTAAATTTATATACCGCTTTTCTCCCCTTGAGGGAATTCGAAGCAGTTTCCAACATAATAAGGCAAAATTCAATGTGAAATACATATATGTGAAAACCAAAACATAATAGCTAGACATTAACATATATATATAAATTAAAAACCTAACCATATTAAAACATAAAACATAAAATAACATTTAGATATAAAGCACAAAGATGAAAATATCAATAATACAATAACATTACAAGTTATTACAAGTCTTACCTTGTAATAGCGGGCTGTGTCAGGAACAGGCCCAAACTCCTGGTTTAATGCATTCCTTACTGAGTTGGCCTTGTCATTCTCAATGTTTATGGCACCAATCAGCAAGTTGTTTGAAATGTTGTCCAAATGGCCACGGAATTTGAGCCAGGGACCTGCTGCTGAGATATGGTCAGTTGTGCATTTCCCTTTCACCTGGAACAGAAGGTAACAAGAGGAGCTCAACACAGGTAAGCGCAAAAGGGGCATTCTGACAACTTTAAGCACTTATCACAGGGGCTCCATGAGGGTGGAATTACAGCTTCGTTGTGTATAAAAAGCATTGCTCAACTGTTCAATAATCCATTGCACGCCATCTACAGCTTACATTATTTTCCCTCCAATGGAAAGAAGAGCCTAGCTGTTCTGCAGGAGAAGCCGGAAGCCTCTGCTAGACTCTAACCAAGAATGTGATGCTATTGTTCTATCCCACCCTATCTATTTGGGCTCTTTAAAGATCAGGATGGGTCATTATTGGTATGTATCTCTTGACTTCAATTTCAAGAAGGAATTCACATATTGTCCCTATTCCCTCTCAACTATCCTCCCAATCGATAACCCTCCCAAAACCTGTGATCTCTGACAACATGCCCTGGTCACAGTGCTTATGAAAAAGTTCAGTGGGTATAGTCCTGCATACAGTACTTAGATTCACAGCGATTCTAGAAAAGCTGAAGGGTCTACTTTCAAGATTAGGGATTGACAACTGATATGAACATAGTAGCATGCTTCTCTCTTGTGAACCTAAATTATCACATGGATGGCACAATTGGAATAAGACAGGCTATTAAGGTATTACTGGATAAGGATATCAGAGCACACTTAATACTGTATGGCACCAAACCAATGCACCTATCAGGTATTCTGTCAGTCTTTACCTTTATGAGGATGAGCATGTCTTCCAGATCCTTGCCGTCCCATTTATCAAAGGGCTCAAGGAGCTGCAAGCGCTGGCTGGTGGGGCTCACATCCACATGCTGGCTGCTGCCATCCTTGGGGGGGTACTGGTAGGTGTCCTGCCCTGGATCAAATTCCTGCAAGAAAGGAAGAGGAAATAAATGCAAGGAGAAAAACAACACTTGACGAGGAAGTGATGCAAATGACAGAAAAAATAAATTAAACATGTTCACACAAATTATTAAGAAGCACAAGGACCACTCAAGCCCTCATACATCCCCAACTAGCATTCTCTATGCTCTTTCCTCTTTAGGTGTCTTTTGGATAATGTAATCTTTTTTATTTTAGTTACAACTTCCATGCCCTTACTGTCTACTAGTCTACTACTATCATGTTCATCTGCCTCACCTCAGATGCGATACCACTGTTTTCTGATAGAATTACAACCTATGTCATATTAAAAATAAGAACAATTTCTTCTTCACACAACTGTATTTAAATGAACATAAATTGATATTACAATTGATTTTAGGCACTTTTTAAAATTCTAGTAGCTTACTGTTTTAGGATGCATGTTTTTGTACAATTATGTTTCATTGGTGTAAGTATGTTTTAAGTATCTGTATTTCTTATTATGTTAATTCTTTTTTGATAATAAGTTCTTTAATGTTCATTTTCTCTTTTTTACTGTTGTGTGTTTTTAAACATGCCATTGAATGTTTGCCTATTTTATATGTATGTAAACCTGCCCTGAGTCCCTATGGGGAGAGAAGACAGTCTAGAATTATTATTATTATTGTTGTTGTTGTTGTTGTTGTTGTTCTTTCAGTAAGTCACTTTTGTATTATACAACAACAATAACAACAACAACAACAATGTATTTATTACCCATCTCTCTTTGTGGCTCAAGGCATAGTTAAAACAGTGAAGTAGCACAAATCACTATTAAAATACATATAGCAAATACAGAGGTAAAATGCAGTCTAAAATTTACCGATAAAATGCAGGTTAAATTTCACAAATTAGGATTGACTAGGCAGGCCTGCTGGAAGAGATAGGTTATAAGTTGTGTCTTAAATTCTGACAGCTGATTTAGCTGTTGGATCTCTTCTGGGCGGTCATTCCATGGTCTTGGGGCAGTCGATGAAAAGGTCCCTGGGTGATGGCTGCCCGTCAGTTTCTGGCTTCTTAGGATAGATGCTCACCAGAGGACGCCAATGTCCTAAGGGGTGAGTTGTGCAGGAGAAGGCAATCCTGTAGGTAACCCAGACCCAAGCCATGTAGAGCTTTTAAAGGTCAAAACCAACACTTTGTACTTTGCCCAGAAACTAACTGGTAGCTAGTGGAGTGACTTTAATATAGGTGTCATATATTCACTCCTGGATGTTCCTGTAACTAGTCTACCTACCATGTTTTGAACTAATTGAATTTTCTGAACTTGGTACAAAGGTAACACAATTTGAAGCACGTTGTAAAAAGTCCAACCTTGAGGTTACCAGTGCGTGCACTTCCAACTTTAGGTCCTCCAAATCTAGGAAAGAGTGCAGCGCATGAGCCGAAGCTGGTAGTAACCACTCCTGACTGTCACATCTATCTGGGCTAATATTTGGAGACACAAATCCTGGAGCACCCCCAAGCTGTGAACACAGTCTTGTGGGGGAGTCTGACCCCCATCCAGAACTGGTTGACATACCTTAACCCCCAGGTTACCCTTGATGGCAAGCACCTCTGTCTTGTCTGGATTCAATTTAAATCTGTTTTTGTCATTTAGCCCATTATTTCCTCCAGGCATTCATCTTATTTTCAGTAACCTAACATAATGAGTAGAAAATCTGACAAAAATTAAGATTACCAGTTTGGGTAACTCATCAGCATCAGGTGCATCAAGTTTGAACTTCTTTCCATCTGCTCCTGTCAGATAGTCGACTTCAGGGTTAAATTTCAGGGTGCCAGCAAGAGAGAGAGCTGTTACAATCTAGCAAGGAAAAATATCCATAATAAGTAAAAAGAAAGCCATTTTCCACATTCACCCTCACCACTTCCATCAACTTCTACAAAATTTTAAACGCAATACTATGAACTAGAAGCCTGATTAAAATCTTGCTACAAGTCTGAAAAGGAAATACCTATTAGGGAAACACTACTTTCAATATGAACTGCAATGAATATGTTAAAGAGCACATATTTTTTGTGGTGAACCCTGAAAACAATTAAGCTGGCCAGCAAGAAACTGTCAGGATGAGGTTTCTGTGAGAGAAAGCAGGATTAAATATCACCTTTTGTAAAACAGTCAAAGAATTCAAGTCATGCAAAGACAAATCATTCTGTCTTGATTTCAGGAGAACTAGTTGTACTTGCATTTTAAAAGTACTATGGACCATTAAATTTTAAAGTCCTAGAGAAAGAAACAAGGGAAGCAAGGGAGTTTTGCAAGTGGGGCGTTTCATGTTTCCATTGAGAACTACAGCAGAGCCAGTTCTTTGTGCCCATTTCTCTTCCCCGTCCTCATTCTCCTTTTAGCATCAGTTGGAAATACTATACCTCTGGTGAAGTCACAAAGGCATGGGTTTCTGGGTTGGCATCATTGCGGCCAGTGAAGTTTCTGTTGTAAGAGGTAACAATTGTATTCTTTTCTCCCTTTTTGATATCCTTTCTGCAGAGAAACAAGCATAAGCTGAACCACACACAAAAATCAACTTCTCAAAAAGGTAAACAAAAGGCTTTGTCATAATCTATGGTAGAGAGTTTTCCAAACAGTGTGTTGTGACTTGTTCATGTGTCAGCTGCAGTTTATGAGTGTATCACACAAAAGTAACTAAAAACCTTTGAGTGTATGTTGAATAAACAATAAGCCATATATCTAAAAAATATAAATGAAAGGTTTTCAAGAGATACGTTGTGTCCCCATACATTTCATTATTACAATTTATTTTATATGTCCATTTTTTTTCAGGGATTGGCTTAACTTCCAAGTTTGCCAGCAAATATGACTTATTGTTTATTCAAAATACACTCACAGGTTTTTAGTTACTTTTGTGTGACACACTCATAAACTGCAGCTGTCACATGAACATGTCGCAACACACTGTTTGGAAAACTCTGTACTACGCTGTTAAAGAGTTGCTATCTCATTTTAAATTCCTGTGATTTGCAGTTCAGGGGGAACCTTAAAAATTCTCAGGCAGAAAGGTCCTGCACTTCTAAACTACAAGCCCCAGAATTCTGCAGGAGACAGCCACAAAATTTAAACTGGGATGCACACTCTTTACCCACTCTTTAAGCTCCACTGCAGAGCTTTCCAAACATTTTATGTCGGTGACACACCTTCTGAGACATTTTGCAAGTCAGTAATTCAGTTATTTTAAATATATAAATGAAAGGTTTTCATGAGATATGTTGTGTCGCCATACATTTCATTATTACAATTTATGTTATATGTCCAATTTTTTTTCAGGGATTGGCTTAACTTCCAAGTTTGCCAGTAAAACTGAATTACTGACTTGCAAAATGTCTCAGAAGGTGTGTCACCGACATAAAATGTTTATCTGTTAATACTTTTCTATAGCTACATTGGGGCTGGCCTCTAGAAGTTGTAGGATTGCAATTCCTAGCTTTCATCATATTTGACAGTGTTAGCTAAACATTTCTTTGCTATCAGGCATTTGAGGGAGGACGAGGGGAACACTACTTGGGAGGTGTGGGGGGAGCTGGAGAGGATATGTAGGTTTTTTGTAGTTTTTTACTGTATTTTAACTTATATCCATAGATCCCCAATGGCGCAATGAATTAAACCCTTATGCCGGCTGAACTTGCTGACCGACAGGTTGCTGGTTCAAATCCAGGGAGCAGAGTGAGCTCCCATTTATCAGCTCTAGCTCCCCATGCGGAGACATGAGAGAAGCCTCCCACAGGATGGTAAAACATCAAACATCCGGGCATCCCCTGGACAACATCCTGCAGACGGCCAATTCACTCACACCAGAAGCAACTTGCAGTTTCTCAAGTCACTCATGACACGGAAAAAAATACCTAATTATTTCTTAATTTTTAAATTTATTTGGTTTTATCATGTAATTGTAAGCTGCCTTGAGTCCCCATGGGGAGAAAGGAAGGGTAGAAATAAAGTTAATAATAAAAAATAGCTAATGAGAGTTGCAACAAATAGCATTTCAAGGGACTGCTTTTGCCCATAAACTCAAAATTCTCCATTTAAAAAGGACCAATTTTTAACAGGAAAAAGCGTCATCTATAAGATACAATATTATGTTCCACATATATTCCACCTTACCTGTCCCACTGGCCTATGCAGGGCCCACAAGCATTGGCAAGAACTATTCCACCAACATCACGGAGGGTTTTGGACTAAAGGAGGCAAAGAAGAGAGTTAGCCTATGGAAGACTAGGAAGTGGCCATCCCAACTACTGAATTCTCATCTGCCGACCACCAACCATTGCAATCGTCAGACTACTCACATAGCCATCCCTTTCAATAGTGGCACGGATCTGCTCAGAGCCAGGTGTAATGGTGAACTGAGACTTGCATTTAACCCCATGGGCAAGTGCTTGCTTTGCCACTGCAGCGGAGCGGCCCATGTCTTCATAACTTGAATTGGTGCAGCTGCCAATAAGACCTTTTCACATGGAACCAAGAAGAGAAGTCAATATCAGACTCTTCCAAGATTCAGCCCCATCTCTTATATCAGTGGCTCTCAACCTGCAAGTCCCTAGGTGTTTTGGCCTACAACTCCCAGAAATCGCATCCAGTTTACCAGCTGTTAGGATTTCTGGGAGTTGAAGGCCAAAACATCTGGGTGAGAACCACTATCTTACTTAAATGTAATTCTGCAGTACTTCTTTTCCCAGTTTGAAGAGCTATCCAGGAATACACTTTTGGGGGGGGGGGGGGGCTGGATATGGCCAGCTTTCTGCCATAATCACTTAAGTCTGAATGACTCAAACATACTCCCTAATGAAAAGGTGACAGCTTATAGTGAGATGCTGAAAGGCATTATATTGCTCAACATAGTCTAAACCGAGTGTTCCCAAAGTTTTTCAGTCATGGAACCACTCAGAAGGCATTTATTTTCTGCAGAAACCTAACTCTATCCTTGATTTGTTTAATCAAAATATCATAGAATCCAACTCCATTTGTCCATGTAAGGAAACACAATCTAAGCCTTCCTGATAATTTTTGTTTAAAAACCTCCAAAGAAGGGGACTTTGCCACATACGAATATCTTCTGGGTCATTTTATGGAAATTCAAATGCTTTCCCAATCTTCTATATAATGTCTCATTTTTTTAGTAAAATTTACTTTTGTTATTGTATGAATAATAACTCAATATCCCAAATATCTTTCATCTCAAAAACTGTAGAAGAAAAAATAATCAAAAAGAAATGTGAAATCAGTGTGAAAAATTAACTACACACGAATTATACTGTATTTACTCAAATCTAATGTTCACCTTTTCTTTGGCAAAATGACTTCGCCAAAAATGAGGTGTGCATTAGATTTGCATCATACAGCAATGTTAGCGCTGAGCCACAGCAAAAGGGGAAGGTGCTTCAGGAGCTGCACCTGGAGCTCCTCTTTGAGGGATGTCACCTCTAATTAAATGACCAGAACTCAATGCTATACAATTCTGGGATTTGTAGTTTGGTAAGGCACCAGCATTCCTTGGCAGAGAAGGCTCAAAACCTTGTCAAACTACAGTACCCCAGATTCCATAGCATTGAACCAATGGAAATTAAAGTGGATTCATTCTACAGCATAGGTTTTCTTTTCCATCACTGGAAGCTTTCATGTTCTAACACATTTGTTTACAATGAAGGAATCCAAGCATGCATCCTTTATTTCTTTTGGTGTACCATCATATTCATTAGGTTATTGTTGTGTTTTTAAAATATTTTATGTTGTCCTGTTTGCATCGCTGCTGTTTTGTAAGCCGCCACAAGTCCCTCTAGGGCAGTGATTCTCAACCTTTGGTCCTCTAGGTGTTTGGAACTTCAATTTCCAGAAATCCAAGCCAGTTTACAAGCTGTTAGGAATTGTGGGAGCTAAGATCCGAAACACTTGGAGGACCAAAGTTTGAGAACCACTGCTCTAGGGAGATGGGGTGGGATTTTTATTTATTTGTCGTGTCAGGGCAACCAGTCAATGGGGTGGGATATAAAGATATTATTATTATTATTATTATTATTATTATTATTATTATTATTATTATGCAACAGTAATGCACACCTTTTCTGGCCAAATTACAAAGCGTGCACTTGCTGCTGTGCATCTGGCAGCAAATACTTGTTTTGCTTTCAGGGTTTTGAAAATTGAGGTGCACATTAGATTCAATGGCACATTACATTCAAGTAAATACAGATACTCTTGTTGTAAAATGCTGAAATGTATGGTTTAGACTTGCACGACTTGTCATCCTCCAGGTGTTCTGGACTTCAGCTCCCAGAATTCTTTACCACTGGACAAGCTGGCCAGGGCTTCTGAGATTTAGAGTCCCAAACACCTGGAAGGCCACAGAATGTACAGGTCTGGTATACACAGTAATGACATACTTGATAACAATAGCTGTAGCACAAATAGCTATTATGGAAACTGTAAATCAAATTGGTCTCATATGGTTTTATTTTAAAATCCATTTGAAATTTGATTATCAAGATTTTTTTTGAAGAACCCTTACAACGGTTTTTTGGAGTCCTAGGGTTCCGCAGAACAGTTTGGGAACCACTGGTTTAGACAATAAAACCTTACTACACCACAAAATTTTAGTTCCATCATAGACAAGTGATGAAAGAGAAAAATTCTCATCATGCTTTTCCTCTCTTCCTGCACACCTGGTGTACAGAATATTCTTCCTAGGAACTGGTAAGATCAAAACAAAATAAGGAACATGAAAGAGGGCTACTTTGGGGGGGAAACACCACATACTAGAGAATTATCAGCAAAAAAAAAAAAAATACTCACCAACTCTGATATCTACTGGCCAGCCCTTCTTTTCAGCCACAGAGCCAATCTCTTCCACACTGTGTGCCAAATCTGGAGTGAAAGGCCCATTAATAAGGGGTTTCAGCTATAGGGAAAGAGGAAAGGCACACAATGGTTAAGAAGATTCTGAATAACAGTGCTACGTCAGAATGCCACAAAAATTATACAACACCAAGAAAGGCACTTTTTTAGCAGAATTCAGTACTCTTTCAAAATGCTATACTTAAGCATCTTTGTTACAAATTCAACAGAAAGGAAGAAACTATGAAAATGAACAAAATCTGGCTACCAGTATTAAAAATATAAAATTATAACAGTAAATAAAGAACAAAACTCAAAGCACAGGGGAACTGCAGACAAGAAACTATCAGGAATAGCTAATCACTTTTCAACAAAGGATTCCCCCAGGCAGGAACAAGCTACACCTAAAAACTGTCAGGCCATCAAATGGTAATTATTATTAATATTTCGTATCAAAAGCATTGCATAAATTAGTATAAAACTGATAAAAATAGAAGGTGTGCAGGCGGCTAAATATCTTTTGACCAAAAACAGGCAACAGCAATGGCATTGTCTGTAGCCTTTAACAATTCCTCCTCTGTACACGAGCAGGGCACAATGAACAAGCATACAGATGCAGAGGTGTCTGTTCTGCTCCACAGTCAGACAAGGTATGGGATTCTTTTAGGTAGTGCCATTTTGCCAGGTTGACTTTTGACCTGCCCACTCCACTTCTGAGCCCATTCAGTGACTTCCAGGTTACCCATTCTTGGTTTGCCCCTTGGAGGAAGACCCTCGCGGGGGGCCATCCAGTTGGGATTTCCTGATTGTTAATCAAGGTGGCCAATTGAAACATTCACACCTAACTCCAACAGACAAGAGTTTTTTCTCCCACCCTGAACTTTCCAGATATATAAACTCAATTTTCCTAGTTTCCAACAGACCTCACAACCTCTAAGGATGCCTGTCAGATGCAGACGAAACGTCAAGAGAGAACGCTTCTAGAACATGGCCATACAACCCGAAAAACCTACAACAACCCAGTGATTCCGGCCATGAAAGCTTTCGACAATACATTTATGAAATCATTTCCCAAACATCTAACATTTTTCAAGAGCCTGAAGAGCCTTACTTCATTGAGGTTAATTTCAATTAGCTGATCATAAGGACAGCCAGGATCAGGCTTCAAGTGTTCTTGGAACTCATCTGCCAAGCTAGCAATTTCTGAAATCAGAAAGGAGAGAAAGATGAAACAATAATTCAAGAGCAGACGTACTAGTAACAATTACCTGTAAAACAAGTAACTTCTTTCCTAGAGCTCTTAAGGATGATGCAACAACTACCTCAAATGTCAAAGTATGCTACATCCAAAGCCACTATTTTATGCATAATTTATGATTAGCGATAACCAGGGGAACATCTCAGGCTCGTATGCCCCTCTGACTATGCTCTGTGAACAAGGAAAAGTACGAAAGCTTCAGCTATTAATCTAGAACAGGCCAAGTTCACTATTACATAAACTTTCAGATATATGCTTGGCTTGTTCTAACTAGTCAGGTGGCTTAAAGGAGCACCCCTTTAAAATTATATTATGGTTCATCCCATGAAATTTCTTGAGTGTTTCTTTCAAGATTTCAACTCTTCTTTGTTGAAATCAAATCAATTACAATTAAAATAAATGGCAAATAGATGGCAGACTGGAACTATCCCAGTGATTTTCAATATCTTCTCTTAATATTACTCAATATTATCCATGTTCTTAAATATAATATACCAAAGTATATAATCACCTCATTGTCTTGCAAGCCACATTGTCTAAACAATAGTTTGTTTAAAGCAGCATACAATTTGCAAGGTTTGCCTAAGCAACAACACTTAAACACATAGTTCAAAAACAGAAAAAAATAACATTTATGAAGACAGCAAAGAACCGAAGGTGACTGCTCTTGTTTTCATTCTTCTTGGGATTCTGTCTACATAGAAAAAATTATAATGAAGCACATCCATCTTTCCTAACAAAACAGAATAGGGACAATTTCTTAGTGTTTTTCATACTCCTTGACACCGTATCAACCTACCTGTTCGCCCAGTCTTGGACAAATACTTCTTCATCCGAGAATTGTAAGGGAAGATGGAAGTGGTAGCACCAATCTCTGCTCCCATGTTGCAGATAGTTGCCATTCCTGGAGTTGAAAGAGATCCATAGCACAAGAGAGGACAGGAAATAGACATTAAAACATATTTATAAACAACTATAAGGAGATATTTCAGACTCTCATCAGGAATAATAAAATAGTGCATCTTAGAGATAAAAGAGCCACCTAAATGCCTTAAATGCACAGATTCCTGTCTGCTCTTGGAAGCTAAATAGAATCAGTGGATGGCAATGAATATCAGGTGCTATAGGTTGTAATTCAGAAGAAAAACTGGCAAAACCACCATTCCATGCCTTAACATTGGAAAATCTATTTTATTCCCAGTTCATACCTTAAAAGCGTCTATTTATTTATTTATTTATTTATTTATTTATTTACTGCATTTGTTGACCGCCGCTCTCAGCCCTGGGGCGACTCGCGGCGGTGTACAACATATAAAAACAGTTTACAAAGGCACACAATATATCAACACAACCATATTACACATTAAACTAAATCACACTAACAAATCCGCACCGTCACAACATAGAATCATAGCCAATCTCATAATCCATAATCCGTTCCTGTTGTCATTACCAGATTCGTGTAGCTCTCAATTAAATGCCTTCTCGAATAGCCAGGTCTTTAGGCTCTTGCGGAAAGCCATAAGGGAGGGCGCCTGTCTGATGTCAACAGGGAGGGTGTTCCACAGCCAGGGGGCCACCACTGAGAAGGCCCTCTCTCTCGTCCCCGCCAGACGTGCCTGTGAGGCAGGCGGGATCGAGAGAAGGGCCTCCCCAGACGATCTCAAGGCCCTCGTGGGCTCATAGGCCGAGATGCGGTCCGAAAGGTATTTTGGGCCGGAACCGTTTAGGGCTTTGTAGGATAACACCAGCACCTTAAATTGGGCCCGGTAGCAGATTGGCAGCCAGTGGAGCTGGGACAACAAGGGCGTTGTGTGCTCCCTGCGTCCCGCTCCCGTTAGTAACATGGCTGCCGCGCGCTGGACTAGCTGAAGCTTCCGGGCCGTCTTCAAGGGCAGCCCCACGTAGAGAGCGTTGCAGTAGTCAAGGCGGGATGTGACCAGAGCGTGTACCACTGTGGCCAAGTCAGACTTCCCAAGATACTATTCAATCCCAAGAGCAGAAAAAATTGTCATAACGAATCTGAATAAAGTAATGCTTTAATATGTAGAACCAGACATTAAATCAATGATTAAACTACTACTATTTGCACTGCAATGTTTGAAGGAAAGATTATTTCTCAGAGTACTACTAGCTTTGCCAATAAAATAAGCTATATTTCACTGTTGTCCATCACAGCAAACTTTTTATTTGCAGCGACTGTATTTTAAAAATGTTATTTTTTTGTAGAAAGCACCATTATTAGGCACACAGCACTACATGTTCCTGGTATTATGCTTTATGTTTGTTTTATGACTAATATAATAGATTGTTTAAATTTTATTCTGATTTGCTAAGTTATAATTTCTTTTTATATGCTTTGGAGTTTAAATTTTGTTATTATGTGTCTATCGGTTGTTATGTTCAGGCACTGAATGTTTCCCTTTTTGTGACTGGAATCTGTCTGAGTCCCTTCGGGGAGATAGGGCAGAATACAAATCAAGTTTTATTATGATATTATTATTGTTGGTGTTGTTGTTTCGGTATGAAGCAACAGTCCTTGGGCTGTGATTGCTTGAATTTTCAGAAAGGAAAGTCTCAAATTAGCTCACAGGGACCAGATCTTTCTTGACATCCTAGTCCTAACTCTGTTTCTGCAGACAAAACATTCAGGAAAACTGAATAATTTTTATTCTTTAAAAACATCAACCAAATGAAGAATCTCAACCCTGTCAAAAAACTGAGAACATATCAAGTTTTCTCAAACTATTACAATGGCATCAACCAATCTATTTTTGGTTGGCTCTGATATGGCTCAATTCACCTGCTTCAGTTGTATTTGTATCCTTAAGCAGTATACAAATAATCTTTTCCATTAACACTACTGATCTACTGCATTTAGGTAAAGGTTTTCCACTGACATTAAATCAAGTCATGTCTGTCTCTGGGGGTTGGTGCTCATCTCCATTTCTAAGCCGAAGAGCTGGGATTGTCCTAGACACCTTCAAGGTCAAGTGGCCGGCATGACTGCATGGAGCACCGTTACCTTTCCGCCGGAGTGGTACCTATTGATCTACTCACACTTGCATGTTTTCGAACAGCTAGGTTGGCAGAAGCCGGGGCTAACAGTGGGAGCTCACCCCGCTCCCTTGATTTGAACCGTCGACCTGGTCAGCAAGTTCAGCAGCTCAGCCGTTTAACCTGCTGTGCCACCAGGGACTCACTTTAAGGACATAGTTCTGAAAAACAAGTGCCCTGTTGACCGACTGCATAGGCACAATCGATGGCCTTTCGTTAGCAACCTTTCAGTAAGCAAATTCAGCAGCTCAGTGGTTTAACCCACTGCGCCACCAGAGGATTCCACTGCATTTATGGTTGACTAATTTTGCTCCCAGTAATGACAAATGACTTGCTCTGTTGAGCAGGTGATAGGCAGCCCTGGTTATTACTGTTAGTCAAAGGTTCTCATTCAGGGAATTTAAGCATTCCTTCCTTACCCGTGCAAGAGATAGAGTCTACTCCAGGCCCATGATATTCTATGATGGCTCCTGTACCACCTTTCACAGTAAGAATGCCAGCCACCTTCAGGATTACATCTTTAGGAGAGCTCCAGCCTGACAGTGTGCCAGTCAGTTTTACACCAATTACCTAGGAAACCACCAATAAAACTAAGTTAAGCTACAAGGTTGAGTACCTCAACAAAAACAAGTGAATTAATTTTCTCATGGTGTTCTGTAGTAATGAGTTCTTGGAAATATAGGAAATGAAGAGATTTCTGGAACAAAGTTAAAGGCCAATTAGTTAAGAAGACTCTGATAAGTTTAACAAAATTAAGTGACTGAATGATTCAAGCTGTACAGACAGAGAAGACTGGAGATTCAGAGCCATCCCTTGAAATACAATGAATGAACTCTAGCCTATTGAAATACTAACAAACTCCAGAAACTTGGAAAATTCTCTTGTTCATATATCCAAGGTTCTGCATGGAGGGAAATGTTTATATTATTCAATGTATTTTCAAAGTCTTTCATAGCCGGAATCACTGGGTTGTTGTAGGTTTTTTCGGGCTATATGGCTATTTTCTAGAGGCATTCTCTCCTGAAATTTGGCCTACATCTATGGCAAGCATCCTCAGAGGTAGTTAGGTATATTATTCATTGTCTCACCTTTGGGCATTTCAGTTCCCATGGGATTCCAGCCATAACATCAACAGCATCAGCTCCACCGACTCCAATACAGATTCCACCCAAGCCACCTCCATTAGGAGTATGGGAATCCGTACCAATCAGCATAACACCAGGATATGAGTAATTTTCCAAGATGATCTGAGAAATGAGATGCAATATTTAGGCAAACATCAGTAGGACACTGAGAGATTATATCCCCCAAACTTCAGTTAAAATATCTATCACTAGAAAATATTAAAGTAGGCAGACAGATCAGGCTGGCCCTTCAATGTGGCATGAGCTACATTGATCAGGGAGAAAATAAGGGCAGCCAATGGTAAGGAACATAAAAGGGCTCCTTGCAACAAATGTTCTGATTTTATAACCCATTTTCTTTGTAGATTTTCTGCATTCAAAAAAAAAACCAGTTAGTTCATTTAATCATTTGAATAGCTCAGTAGCTTAAGAAATGACCAGTCATTCTAAAGTCAAATCCAGCATGATCAATCCAAGCCCTTTCTAGGAAGATAAGCAAAAACCAACATTATAATAAACGATGTGAGTTCTGGAACAGAAGACCTTATCAATATTTAAAATACAACTAAAAACCTATCTCTACCCAGCCTGTTTTTAACTATGAATTTTAAATTCACATTCTATCTCATTACATTTTAATCTTTGTTTTGTGTATTGCAATATGAATATTTTATAGAAATATGTTTTAATGTATTGGCTGTATTGAAGCTGTAAGGAGAGCCAGGAAATAAAAATATTATTATATTATTGCCTAGTATGTAGAGGGTAAAGAACCTCTCAAGCCCTTCCTATCAACAATGGATTTCTGCAGTATGACATGCAAATGACCTTTGTCCACATCCATGTACTTCAGAAGTGTCAACTTACTTTTTTGTTTGAAATTGAGGCTACACTACAGTTTTAAATATTTCACATATAGATACTTGGCAGAAAACTATGCTTCTGGTTACACTTTAACCAGCATAACCTTGAATGAGCTGGAAAATGTGTCCAAAGCAACTTATACTGGTCTCTTTGCAAAACTACATAACAAGGAGAAAGGAGAGTGGCAAGTTGGCTTCATTTGGAAGATGGACAGTCAACTCATCAAGGAAACCACAAGGGGCAGAAAGGTTTTTCAGATGTAGTGGTAGGCACAGCTCAGTGGCAAAGCATATAACTTGCATATGTCAGAAATATTAAAAATTAACTAGGTATTTTTAATTTTTAAAATGTGAGTCAAGAATGGAAAGAGTTAGTAGGTTGAAGCCTGTTAAGAGTCAGTGGTCGAGGACTTCCGGTGGAGGCGAGATGGTGGAAGCAGCGGTTGTTTGAAGCTCCGTGAGCCTCAAACCCGAATCCCTTTCTAGTGGGCCTGGAGAGAGAATATTTCTCCCCAACACCGACAGATAAGGTCGAGTTGGTAGCAGGGGGCAACGAAGGAGGAAGGTGGGGGTCCCTAGGGAGCCCCAACAACCTCCGTTTTCCCCCAGAAGACCCGAGAAAGAGGACGCCGACCGCAAGGGAACGGCAGGCAATCCACCGCCTCCATATTAATGCAAAAGGATTTAAACAAACAAACAAGAAAGAGTAAAGAAAGATAAAGGAAGCAGGGAAAGAAAGGAAGAGATAAACAATAACAACAACGACAGTAGCAGCTTAAAAGAAAAGAAAAGCCTACCATATTGAGTATTAAAATCAAACCAAAAAAGGAAAGAGAGAGAGAAACGCGAAAGACAAAGAGAAGAAAATATAAGAAGAGAAGACGAGTAGATTTCAATTATATTGAATATAATTAATACTCAATTAATACTCAATTAATACTTTCTACTCACTTTCTACTCACCATCTACTATCAACAACGCGGACGGCGGACGGTGAGAGAAGGCCGGGAAGGGAGGCAAGACGAGGCAAGACGAGGCGAGGCGAGGTGAGGCGAAGCGCGGGAGTGAGAGTGAGAGGGAAGAACGAGAAGAACGAAAAGAAGAAAAGGCGAGAATCGAAGCCAGAATCGAGGCCAGAAACGGAGGACGGGGACGGGGGACAAGGAGAAGGAGGAGAGAAGAGGCAGCCGGCGGAGTGCATGACGAACCGAGAGCCAAGAGTAGAAAGACAACGAAGGAGCAAGAGCAGCTAAGAGAGGACAAGGAAGATAGAAGAGAACGAGGAGAAATAGGGGAAGAAGGAGAAGGAGGGAGTGGCCCCCTGAGTAGAGAAGCCGAGCCGGACGACGGAGACAAGAGGGGGAGCGCAAGAACTTAGAAGGAGAAGGAAAAGGAGAAGGAGAAAGAGAGAGGAAACCCCGGAGTCCGAAAGCCAAAACAAAAGTTAAGCGCCAAAGAAACTAGAAGGAAAACCGCGAAAACGCCGCAAAAAGCCGCAAAACGCCGTAAAAGCGGCCGAACCACGGAAAGAGCAGGACAGAAGAGATAACAAAGGTAAAACTATTATAAATTTACTATAGTTTTTTATAATCATTGTGTTTTGTAGGTACCTATGCTATAATGGAATTATAAACAACAAAATAACTAAAATAATATGCTAAAAATTTTTTTTTTGATATAACTGGTTGTATTTAGTGTACATGCTTCTTGTATCTACTTATACTAACAGATAAATAACTACATATTAATAAATAGAAATAACTCAGTGTGCCACTAAAATTGATGCAATAATTGATGTGATAATGAATCCAGGCATATAAATTTTTCTATTATTTATACGCTTATTTATACGCTTATGATTCTGTAAGAAGTTAGTAGCTTGGTGTTGGCAATTATACCCAGCTATACCCAACTCTGAAGGACCTATATTGGGGAATACACAGAAAATCAACTAATAATATATTGAGGGACCCCCAACATGGAGAAGTTTACTACAATTAAAGGAGGCAAAGGACTGGTAGCCAGAAGAAACTCCTTCCAAGGAGAACTCACACCTAGAGAGCTAGCCAGAAGAAATTCACTTCAGGGAGAATTTACRCCGAAGGAGACAGTAGAGAAAGAAACAACAGTGAAAGGAATAACAGCCAAAGATATAATGGATGAACRAATTAAAATACAGGAAACYCAGYCAAAGTTACAAGAAACGCAGGAAAAAATGCAAAAATCTCAAGAGACATTACAAATAAAACTAGAAAAAATGATAAAAGTTGAGATGGGAAAAGTGAAAGAAGAAATTAAAGAAGAGATTTCCACATTAAAAACGGACATGAAAGAAATACAAAAAGAGGTGACTGAAATCAAAAAGGAAAAGGTAATACAGGGAAAAGCCATAGAAAAAACAAATAAAAGAGTAGACAAGCTGGAGGAATTAACAACTAAAATGAAGAATCTACAGGAAATAGCAGAAACAAGAGAAACGGAATACAAATTAAGAATTAGAAACATTGAAGAAAAAGAACAAGATAATTTGAGAAGTATAATAACAGAAATGACAGCCAAAATAATGGACTTGACCTGCGAGGAAATGGACAAAAATATAGACCGAATATACAGGGTGCAGACAATCTACGCCAAAAAACATGGCACACCTAAAGACATTGTTGTGAATCTAACAAGGAAATGTGTGAGAGACCAGATACTAAAAAACAATGCAAAAGAACCTGTAATTTTTAGAGGGAAAAGAGTGGTCATTATAAAAGAAGTTTCAACATCCACAATAGCCAAAAGAAAACAATATTACTTTTTAACAGACGAATTGAAGAAACAACAGATTAAGTTTAGATGGGAAAAGAATGAGGGAGTAATGGTAACCTATGAGGATAAGAAATATTGGTTAACATCAATTGACAAAGCTAAAGCTTTCTATCAAAAAATTCAAACAAGGAAACCAAATCAAGAAATGAAACAATATGACAAAAAAACAACAGACAGAGAAAGCGAAGAAGAAGAAGAAGAAGAGGAAGAAGATATGGAGCTAGCCAAGGAACCAGATCCGACAAAAAGAAGTAAAGGAGAAAAAAGAGCTAGACAAATATCTCCAGAAAATTATGGAAAGCAGACTCACAAGAACAAGACAACAAAGGACTTAATTGACTTAAAAGCTGATGATGGATCTAAGGATTGTGTCTAACAATGTAAATGGGCTAAACAGCCCCAATAAACGCAAACTAATAAATAAACAACTTAAGAGTCTGAACTGTGATGTAATCACATTGCAAGAAACACACATCATGCAAAGACATTCTGCACACTTACAGAATAAAAAATTAGGGAAACTATTCTATTCCTCCGCGGCACAAAAGAAAAAGGGAGTAGCAATGTACATAAATGAGAGACTCAATCCAGAATTAGCATTTAAAGATGAGGAGGGCAGGATGATTGGGGTTAAAATCCAAGTTAATGATATGAGCATACTTATTTGTAATATCTACGCTCCAAATGGAGCGAAAACTAAATTCGTTGACCTATTAAAAAGGAAGATAATAGAACACCAACAAGATAACATAATAATAATAGGAGATTTCAACGGGGTATTAGATGGTAAACTAGACAGAACAACTGGAAGATCAAGAGATAAGGACCAAAAAAATGGGAAATTACCATTTAATTTTTTAAATTTATTACAACAGTTTCAGTTGCAGGACATTTGGCGAACAAAGAACCCCAAAACACAAGACTTCACCTTTTATTCCAACAGACACGAGACTTGGTCTCGAATTGATATGTGCTGGGCATCTAAAGACCTAGTGATACGAACCAAAAAAATAAAAGTATTACCAAGAACACATACAGACCACTGTCCGCTAAAGGTTGAAATACAAACGGGGCAAAGAGAAAGAAGATGGAAATTAAATGACTTATTGATAAGATCAGAAGAAGATATTAAATACAACAGAAGAATATTACAAGAGTATTTCGAAAACAATGTAGACAAAGAAGTTAAACTGGAAACAGTGTGGGAAGCTGGAAAAGCGGTAATGAGAGGCCACTTTATCCAGCAAAGAGCTCTAAAAAATAAGAGGAAAAAAGAAGAAATAACTAAATTAGAAGACAAACTTAAAAAAAAAGAAGACCAACTTAAAAAACGGCCAGGGAATAGAAAGATACAACTAGAAATAGAAATAATAAGAAAAGAAATAAGCTCTGCAGAAGCAGATAAAATGATTCAAAATTTAAAATATCTTAAGGCGAGACATTTCGTACAAGCCAACAAACCTGGGAAGTACTTGGCTCAAAAAATAGCAAAGAGAAGACAGCAAAAGATTATAACGCAGATAATAGAGGAAGGGAAAATCCACACCAAAGAAAAAGACATCGCTGCACAATTCCAAAATTTTTACCAGAAACTTTACAAAAGAGACACAGTAACCAAAGAAGATATAGTCCAATTCATATCAAGACAAAATGTGCAAAGAATTACGGATTCAGAGAGAGAATACATAAATGCGCCAATTGAAAAGGAAGAAGTCATAAGATCAATAAATAGATTAGCTATAAATAAAACTCCAGGACCAGATGGCCTCACAGCCCAATATTACAAAGTATTTAAGGAAGAACTGGCGAGCCACCTAAAAGAAATCATGAATAATATAATGAGAGGAGGAGAAGCACCAAGCAGTTGGCATGAGGCATACATCACGTTGATTCATAAGGAAAACTCAGAACCAGAGAAGCTCAAAAACTATCGGCCCATCTCCCTTCTGAATTATGATTATAAAATTTTCACCGGGATCATAGCAGAAAGATTTAAAAAAATCCTAAAAGAAAGAATCAAAGAAGATCAGAGGGGATTCCTGCCTGGCAGACAAATGAGGGACAATGTGAGGATAATCTTAGATATCATAGAAGTTTATGAGAAACACCCACAGAGAGAATTGGGGCTATTATTTTTGGACGCCGAAAAAGCGTTCGATCAGACAAATTGGGACTTCTTAACATCTACCTTGAAAGAAATGGATATAGGATATCCTATACTGAACGCTATCAACGCCATATACACCCAACAGACAGCAAAAGTAATAGTAAATGGCTTACAGACAGGAAAAATAAAAATACAAAGAGGAGTCAGGCAGGGATGTCCCCTTTCTCCCCTATTGTTTATATTAGTATTGGAAATTTTATTAGAAGACCTTAGAAAAGATAAAGAAATTCAAGGACTGAAAATAAGAAAAGAAGAGTATAAAGTTCTTGCGTTCGCTGATGACCTAGTGTGCATCATAGAAAACCCGGTACAAACTATCACCAAATGGATATCCAAAATTGAAACATTTGGAAGAATGGCAGGATTAAAAATAAATATAACAAAAACTAAAGTCTTAACCAAAAATGTGAACAAAGAAGGAAAGGAAAAAATAGCCAAAGATTCTGGAATAGAGGTGGTTAAAAAGGTCAAATACTTAGGGGTTATAATATCCACAACAAACAGAAGTTTATTTAAAGACAATTATGAGAAAATATGGGAGAAAATTCAAAGAAAACTAAAGAACTGGAAGTATTTACATTTATCGTTATTAGGGAAAATATCAATTATTAAAATGAGTGTATTGCCCCAAATGATCTCCTTATTCCAAATGGTCCCAATTATAAAAACAGGTCAATGTTTTAGAAAATGGAATAGAGATATACAAAAATTCATCTGGAATGGAAGAAAACCACGGATTAAGTTTAAAAATCTTACTGACATTAGAGAAAGAGGGGGACTATCACTACCGGACTTACAAATATACTACGAGGCGTGTGTTTTAGCATGGGTTAAAACATGGGCCACTTTGGAACAAAAAAAGATTTTAACTCTGGAAGGGCATGATACCAGAAGGGGATGGCATGCCTATCTCTGGTATGGAAAGGAAAAGATAGAAAGGAACTTCACTAATCATTACGTAAGATCATCATTGTTGAAGACCTGGAACAAATACAAGAAGTTGCTATACCCTAAAACACCAACTTGGATATCACCCATAGAAGCACAGCACAGGAGAGAAACACCTAAGGATAGATGGCTTAGCTACAAGCAATTGCTCACAAGGTACAATAACGAGTGGTGTCTGAGAACACTGGAAGAACTAAAGCAAGAAGATAAGGAAATGAATTGGTTCTATTACTTACAAATAAAAGAATACTTCAAAATGGACCAAAAGATAGGATTCTACGAAAAAGAAACGTGTTGGGACATCATAATGAAAAGGGAGAAAAAGGTAATTAGAATATTATATCAAAAGTTACTGGAACTGAACAATGAGAGAGAACTAGTGAAAGAAAATATGATTAGATGGTCGCAAGATTTGGGACACACCATATTGCTCCAGGAATGGGAGAGGATATGGAAAATACAACGAAGACTAACAAAAGCTACAAGTGTAATAGAAAATTGGCAAAAAGTATTTTATAGGTGGCATCTAACACCGTTGCAGCTTTCCAAATTTAATAAGAATAATGATGGAATGTGTTGGAGGTGCAAGAAAAAGACAGGGACATATTTCCAAATTTAATAAGAATAATGATGGAATGTGTTGGAGGTGCAAGAAAAAGACAGGGACATATTTCCACCAATTTTGGAAGTGTGGAAAAATAAAAAAATTTTGGCAAATAGTACATAAATACACTCAAGGTATAATCCGAACGAAGTTCGATTTGAAACCTAAATACTATCTGTTAAACATAATGGACCTAAACCTTAAAAATAATGAAGAAAAGATATTTTTTTATATAGCAGCGGCCGCCAGAACGTTAATAGCCCAGAAATGGAAAAACGAAGAAGCTCCAACAAAGGAGGATTGGATAAAAAAAATAATAGAATTTAGAGATTTGGACATGCTTTCGCAAATGCTAGAAGATAATATTAAGAGTAAAAAAACTGATTGGAAATATTTTGGAAATTATATAAGGGAACAAATTAAATTAGACATTTAAGACGCTACTGAAGTCAATACAAGATTATCACAAAGACAAGAAGAACAGAATGAAAACAGAATGATTGAAGTTACCCTGTGGAATGAACGGGAGTTAGAAATTCGACCCCCTCCCTATTTACCCTCCCCCACCCCCCCTCCCGCCCCACCCTACCCATTCTCTACCACACACACTCCTATCCTCTTGTTTTCCCACCCTTTCTATCCTCAACCTTGTTCCCACACTTTCAATGTATATCACAAAAACTGTTAATAAAAATGATATTAAAAAAAAAAAAAAAAGAGTCAGTGGTCCAAAGCTAGTGTCATCCTGAGGAGTGTGAGGTAAACCTCTGTGAGAGACAAGCCTTGTGTGAGAAAGCTCCAGTGTAACGGCTGCTGTGTGTATAAAGCTACTGTGTGAAGTTCCAGTATAAGTTCGTTGTAAGAGGCTCTGTGAGAGCAAAGCTGTTCAACTGCATGAAGAAGCAGCCCAGCATGGAAGCAAAGAAGGAAGTATACTTTATTTGTTCAGTGTACACTGTACTAACTTAAATGGACAGAAAGTAATTGTCTATGATACAAACTAGATTACTGAACTTCTCTTTTTAATTTTTAGGAAGGAAACAATTTACCTGGTGGATGATTCCTGATCCAGGTTTCCAGAAACCTACTCCATACTTGGCACCTGCTGTTGCTAGGAAGTTGTACACTTCTTGATTAATGTCCTGTTTATACACCCAAAAAATAAACACATCTTGATAAAACTTCTACCACAACTATTCTACAAGTAAAACTTATTCTTCAATTCTGTGCTGCTCTTAGAACAAAATCCACCTGTCCACTCCAACTAGTGCAGTCCCTGGAAAATCAACAATTACATAAATATCATTAATCCAAAAGACCTATTCTAGTTAGAACTAACAACTGGATTACGGTCTCTAGTTAAAAATGCCTATTTTAAAGATTTAGCCTGAGTGAAGAATGAATCATTAGTCTGACTGGATGATGAATCATTTCAATGTAAAATAAAGATTTTTTTAAAGTACTGAAATATACACTTGAATTCCCTTCAAGTACTCCCTCCAGTATTATAAATTCTATCAGAAGAATATACATACATCCTTAAACATCTTCTTAAACATATGTATAAAATGAGATGCTATGGATGAAAATAAAAAAACTGAATTTGCTATTTTTTTCACTGGAAAATAGCTCTATAGAAATTTCTAGTTCACTAACATGACTATATGGTCAACTTCTGTTGGAAGCTGACTACAGAATGCATTGGAGGACCTAGAGATTCCTAGAGAAGTCTATTCTCTAGAAATACCCATAATCAACTCCAGAAAAAATGACTATAAAGTTGCACCAGAGAAACTAAAGATTCCTGGAGAGAACATTTAAATCAAATCTGTAAATAATCAAATCCTCAAAAAGCAAATCTGCAAATGTGGAGGATCACTTGTACAGTACAAAAGTGGGTATGATACTGAACATCACACATTAATTTAAACCAGCCCATTGATTTGCTTGTAAGCTTCTGGTAAGTAAAATATAAAGAATGACCTTTGCTCTTCTGAGATCTTTCTCACCGCCTAGCTGTGCTTCAATAAGGTGATCACAGTGGATAGTTGAGGGAACAGCGACTTTGGGCAATCCACTGCTAATGAACTGCAGCATGGCCATCTGGGCAGTGGCATCCTGCATTGCCACACGGTCTGGCCGCAGGCGAAGGTATGACTTGCCCCTCTCAATTTCCTGCTTCACAGGGTCGTCTAAATGGCCATATACAATCTTCTCTGACAGGGTAAGGGGACGGTCCAGTCTGTTAGGATGGAAACAGAGAGAGAGAGCGCTTTATGTTTTTAGCTTACGCATTTGCTAACTGTGAGAGCTGTTCAGCAGTGGAACTCTCTGCTCCGGAGTGTGGTGGAGGCTTCTTTGGAGGCTTTTAATCAGAGGCTGGATGGCCATCTGTCGGGGGTGCCTTGAGTGCGATTTGCCTGCTTCTTAGCAGGGAGTTGGACTGGATGGTCCACGATGTCTCTTCCAAATCTATGATTCTATTATTTTCACCATGTCATATTTTTCAAAAGTAACAGGCTGTACTTTGACTCATAAAGTTTCTTCTGACAGGCCTTCACTTAACACCATCATAGTGTGAAGCTTGTACATCGTAATACAGTTTATGGCAAAATTAAGTCAGCAGAGGAATTTATGATAACTAATTAATCTTAACATTGTAATAGCTAGCACTGACAAATTTTAGATCTTAATTAAGTAGAAATCCTGCCTAGTTTACTGTAGTTAATACCAATGTAAAGATAGTGTCAGGAGGGAACATTCACATTCAAGATAGGAAGGAAGAATACAGCCCTGTGACCCATTTATGCTTTTCTATTTATTTTTTTTGTCGTATCAGGAGTGACTTGAGAAACTGCAAGTCTCTTCTGGTGTGAGAGAATTGGCCATCTACAAGGACGTTACCCAGGGGACACCCAGATGATTTGATGTTTTATCATCCTTGTGGGAGGCTTCTCTCATGTATCCGCATGAGGAGCTGGAGCTGATAGAGGGAGCTCATCCGTGCTCTCCCTGGATTCGAACCTGCGACCTGTCGGTCTTCAGTCCTGCCAGCACAGGGGTTTAACCTACTGCACCACCGGGGGTTTTTCTAATAATAATCAAGAAATCAGAAACTTCCATCCTCAAAATTACTATTGAGGAGATAGCTAATACAAATACTTTCATAGTTGGGTTGGTTACAAACATCAGTATTAATTGAAGATACAAATATCCACAGAGAAGGTAATTTGAAGAATCATGTACACTAATTCAAGTCCACTCATGTTCCAATCACCTTTCTGTATCTTTTAGCACTATTGATATAAGTTTGTTTCAGTGTAGCCCACTCAGAATCTACACCTTTCCTAATCTGATTTTCATTTGAACCAGATTAAGCTGGTCCACGATGCTACCACAATCAAATCTGATCTTGCCTGATTAGAGAAGCTAAGCAAGGTCAAGCCTGGTTAGTACTTCAATAGAGTATATCCCACATAATATCAGGGATCTCCAGATAGGGCCAGAAGAGTACTCTGCCTGAAATCCTAGTGAGCTATTTTTAATCTGTCATAGTTGATAATATGGAGCTATATTCAGGGTAAGAAAATTGTCCCATGGGCAGTATGCAGCTCCCAAGGTGACCCTGGAAACCTTTCGAAAGTTTTCTCTCTTACAAGATCCCCAAATTATAGGTCCATTTGATACTCTTTTTTGGATTTCCTGGGCTATTTCAGGCAAAAGAGAGGTGCAGCCAGATTGTTAACTGAGGCAGATGACTGAGATCATACTTCTGTTATTTTTTCAATTATGAGCCACTTTGACCCCCAATTTTAGGAAAAATGTATGATATAAACATAGTAATAATAAAATAATCACAATATACTTTCATTTTACCAGATCCATTATACAAATATAGTTTATTAACACAGCTCCCTGTTATTTTCTTCTGAAACAATTTTATTCAATAGCCCTTTTAAAATGCAATATCCCTGTACAATAACTATAGGTTTTTCATGCCCTGTTCTTACCTTTTCCGGACAATGTTGATGTTTTTCTCAAGTTTTTCATAATTTATGTATTCATTGGACTCAAACTGGCTCATAGCCACCTTGGCCCTCTGGCACAGGACGGCACTGACATGGTATCGCCGAACATTTTTGCCCAAGGCTTGCTGAAGAAGACAAATAAAACAAAAGCACTGTTAACACTCACCATCAACATTTTAAAGAAATGTAGATCCTACAGTAACAAGACAATAAATACTATAACTGTTTGATGCCTAACTTACAGAATAGTGGTTGTATCCAAAGGACTTTCTTGAAAAATTCCAAATTCTTGGGAAAGTCCACATTTCAAAGATTACAACAAAAACCTTCAACAAAACAGACTGAAAGCAGGAGGTCAATCAAAATAATTACTTAAAATTAAATAAAAATGCCGGTGTATCAAGTAGAAGCATTCTGAACCTAGTTTTCTAATTGTAGAAAATGTTTCCTACAAGGGTTAAAGTGAGAAAACATAAGCAACACTTCTGCTCCTTCTGCTACATAAGTATATTACGCCACAAAACTGGTCGCCTTCAGCCAGAATTCATAGGTTATGCTCTCAGGAAAACCTTTAGCAAATCGAGTCACATTTTTTCGATACAGAGGAATCTCACAGTTGCAGTGACAACCAAATCCTACAATGATCCTCTGGAAGAAAGAGCAGGATTGAAGCAGATATTTTAGGTCAAGTGACATCTGTAAAAAGTTAATGCATTGTAATGGAGGTGCAGGCTCTTCATAGATAAGAAAAAAGAGTAACTCTCCTCCTTCTCAATTGCAATATCACACATAAGTGAGATTAGCAGATTTCTACACAGATAATCACCGTCCACATTTAACAGATCAGGATTATGCTTCAAGCAGAGATTGACACCATTCCCTAATGCTGGTGTTAGAATCTCTGACAAAACTTGCTATTTTCTCATTGCAGGGCTACATTTAATATAGGAACTGAACACCAAAAGTGAATTCCTTAACACATTTACTTGAGAGGAAATCCCATTACTTAAATGACACTCTCTAATGAAGATGCCAAAACTGAAGCCTGAGCTGTTTTTCTGTCCTCACGTGACAGAAGTTCTTGAAAATGTTTTAAGTTTGGAAATGTTTCAGTTTCAAGTCTGATCAACTCATGACCAACCAGCACAAGACTTTGTCTAAGTCTGTTCTGAACACTTCACAACTGGAAAAGGATCCGAGACAGAGGAAGCAACACAGATCCAAATAATGAAGCACAATTTCCAGATCTGCCACTGTATGATATCTTACAGATGCTAAATCCATCTCATAATTCTTTCTAGATGCAGGATACAGACGGGCCGCATTCACATATTACTTCAAAGTCATGTTTACAAACACAGCACATCAAAGCACTGTCATTCACAGCTCATTCATGTTAATGTAACTGATATAAACAATGTTGCTAATGACATGAGCCCTACCTGGCTCAGTTATGAGGATAGCAACATGTTTAGGAAGCACCATCATTGTTGGTAATGGGATTCAGCCTCAGCCCCATTTTAATCTCATGATTAAATGGAATGCAATGTCCACAGAGGGTTTTTGTGAATAGCAGATGCACACTGAGCCTTCAGTGTAACTACAATCTATTACTTTGTTCTTCTCCAATATTCTTCCCTAGTTGTGTATAATTTTCACCCTTCCTTTTAAAATCTTATATACTTAAGATTTAAAGCAGTGGAAGGTAATTGAGAACATACAAAAATGTTATTGTGCATGGAACAACATGCTGATGCAAATGTTCCAGGTTATCACAGTCCCTATAAAAGGGTTCTTTAAAAATAAAAGCACACTAATTATTCCCATGGAAAAAGATCTCACAGCGTCTCATCCTCACAGTCTAGTTTGACTTCAAGCCCTTCAATGTAGTATTAACTCTATTAAACTACAGCCTATGTGCCATGCTTGCCTGGTAACAACAAACTTGTTAACACAATGGGATCTGGTTCCAAATACCCATATTTATCGTTTGGATACAATATGAGGAAATATACTATTTTTTCAGTATTGGTTTTAAAATTCATTAGGTGACTAGAGACAGTATAGAAATATAGGATCACAGTGACTGAGACAAGTTTTAATGAACTGAAACTGGTTAGTTAATACTGCTTGACAACTAATTCAGCAAGTGAGGTAGCACTACCAAGTGATAGACTATTAAGAAGAGGCAACATCAGATGACTTATACATTACTAACAGACTAAAGTTTCATAATATAATAGGAAAGGATGAGAACTGAGAAAGAGAAAGTATTGCTGTAAGAGAAGATCCTGTATCAGAGTAAAATTACCCAAATTACTTTAGTTCCACACTTTATCTCAAAATAATATGGTGATTTTAAAAGTGCACACTAATTCTTTGCATGCTATCAGTTTCAATCAGTTTGCCTTTCCCTATTTTTAAGTACATACACTCAAGGTTACATTCTCTTAGAATATACACATCAAAGGAAATCCACAAGGGCATCGGAGAGGACATTATGAGATACTATAGCTGTTCCTATTACCTTCTTACTCTTACATTCAAACAGAATCAAGATACTGCAACATGAACATGGGGTAGATGTTATGGAGTCAAGTCTGATGTAAAGAAAACATGTAGTGGCATCCAGCCAGGGTCAAGAATGCAGCGAGGCCTGCCCTGAGAAAGAGAGTGATAAATCTGGCCTAGCCTGAGAACCAACTGATAATGGTGGATTGGAGCACCCGGCTGCTTGTAGGGTTTTTTTGTGAACTAAGGGGGTGGGTTTTTTGAAGATATTTAACCAAGGGTGTGAACATTTTGGCTTCAGTACTGACTTTGCTGTCATGTGGAAATCCAGAATTGAAGACATTCTCATGAGTGCTTTAATTACTACAGGGATTCTGAATCTCATCATAGTGAGGTATACATCCTAAATGTTAGATTATCCAAAATTGTTCTTTGCTTTTAAAAAATGGCTAACAGCTTTTAGAGAGTTGCTGTCATTTTGCTGCATTTTCAGGCATTTGGTAGCCATCACCGACTTAGACTTGGTAAAGTTACAACTCTTTTCCAAATCAGAAAAAGGCACAGTATTGATTATATGATGATTAAAAATTGTTGACCACACAAACGCACAAAATAGCAGTTCCTCACCTTGCATTTATTTATATATATATATATATATATATATATATATATATATATATATATATATAAACAGCTTCTTCCTATTAGAGTTATAGAAGACTATTCATAACCTCTTGAAAACTCTGCTACCAGATGGAAGACATTTGGAAAATACTCTACTGGAAGCCACAATGATTATTTTGATCTGAGCACCAATCTATGGATGTCATAACACTAGATAATGAATCCACTTTAAATCCGGTTGCTGAAACCTGCAGAATTCTGGAGTTTGTAGTTTTGGTAGGGGCCTTTAACAGCCTCACTAAACTACAAACCCTAGAATTCTGCAGGATTTAAAGTCAATTCATTCTCTAGTGTAATTAAGTTCTATGTAGTATCTCATAGCTAACATCTCAACAATTATCATTTTTAAAAAAATCTATGTTAATTATTAAGTTTGGTAGATGAATAAGAAGTGTTTTCAGATAAATTCTTTCAGATAATCATGCATAACATTAACATTTTATCTTAAAATACTTATTCTGAAGTACAAGTTTTCCACTTACATTACTTCACACATAACTGATACAAGGCACCTATATACAATAGCCTCTCCTGTTACAGTGGAATATTCCACTAGGAGTGAGAAAGAAAACAGACCTCTTGAAGAATTCCTTCTTTTACAAAACTACTCTATTGTGTCTGCTAATAAATAAGCTCCTTTTCACTTGTATGCCCAGGTAGGTACATATAGACCCTCTATTAACTGGCACCCTTGGGGATTGGTAGATACCGAATAAATTTAGTTTGTAGTTACTTGAGAATTACTATTAAAATAGGCCTAACTAGTACTACAGGAGCCCCCGGTGGCGCAATGGGTTAAAGCACTGAGCTGCTGAGCTTGTTGATCGAAAGGTCGCAGGTTCAATTCCGGGGAGCGGCGTGAGCTTCCGCTGTCAGCCCTAGCTTCTGCCAACCTAGTAGTTCGAAAACATGCAAATGTGAGTAGATCAATAGTAGAGTAGATCTGGCGGGAAGGTAACGGCGCTCCATGCAGTCATGCCGGCCACATGACCTTGGAGGTGTCTACGGACAACGCTGGTTCTTCGGCTTAGAAATGGAGATGAGCACCACACCCCAGAGTCAGACATGACTGGACTTAATGTCAGGGGACTACCTTTACCTACTAACTAGTACTACACCCCACACATCATACAATAAACTCTGTATTGACTTAATATTAATACTGAAATATAGTAATTAAAACCAAGTTAAGACAGACTTATTTTAATATAACAGTTTTACAGTATTGTAACAACTAAATTTGCTGTATTATTTAAAAACATTTTTATTTAAAGCACCACTTCTTCATTGTTTTGCTAGCTGCTTGTGAGTTCTAATTAACTGAGTCTACTGTATGCACAGAAATGCAATTTTAGAGGTGTTTAGATTTGATAGGCCTACCTAATCAATTCTAAACAATTAATTTTATATGCGCATGCTCTTTGTATTGTCTTTTAATCTTTGACCTATATATAGTAAAGATAAAGGTTTCCACTGACACTAAGTCTAGTTGTGTCCGACTCTGAGGGTGGTGGTGCTCATCTCCATTTCTAAGCTAAAGAACCGGCGTTGTCCATAGATGCCTCCAAGGTCATGTGGCCAACATGACTGCATGGAGTGCTGTTACCTTCCCGCTAAGATGGTACCTATTGATCTACTCACATTTGCATGTTTTCAAACTGCTGGGTTGGCGGAAGCTGGGCCTAACAGTGGAAGCTTCCTGGATTCAAACCACCAACCTTTTGGTCAGCAAGTTCAGCAGCTCAGCTGTTTAACCCACTGTGCCACCAGAGAGCCCAACCCAATGTGTGTCTATATATAAACACACACACACTATAATTGAAGTTTATTTTAATTATATAGTAACATGCTTTAGCTATGTTGTACCCTGTCTCAATCCATGAGGAGAGATGGGTAACAAATAAATTATTATAATGAGTCTTTCCAAGAAAGAAAAGCAGTCTATAAATTATTATTCATATTATTAAGTCATATCTGTACAAAAGATCCCCAATGACACAATGTGTGCTACAAAGCTTAAAAATTAATTTGTAGAAAAATATAATAACTATTCCATCCACTATGTGTAAAAGTCCAGGCTATATACAGTGAAAGAGAAATTCATGCAATACTATATATGTGTGTATTGTCAAAGGCTTTCATGATCGGAATCACTGGATTGTTGTAGGGTTTTTTTGGGCTATATGGCCATGTTCTAGAGGCATTTTCTCCTGACGTTTCGCCTGCATCTATGGCACGGTCACTACCTCTGAGGATGCTTGTCACAGATGCAGGCGAAACGTCAGGAGAAAATGCCTCTAGAACATGGACATATAGCCCGAAAAACCTACAACAATCCACTATATATGTGTGTTTGCTACAAAATTTAAAAATTAATTTGTAGAAAAATTATAATAACTATTCAATTCACTATGTGTTAAAGTCCAGGCTATATACAGTGAAAGAGAAATTCGCACAATATTATGTATGAGTGAGTGTATATGTATGTGTGTATAATCATGATGACACAATGTGTGCTACAAATTTTAAAAAATAATTTGTAGAAAAATATGACTAATCCATCCACTATGTGTAACAGTCCAGGCTATATACAGTGAAAGAGAAATTCACACAATACTATATACGTATGAGTGTATATATATGTGTGTGTGTGTGTGTATAAACACGATGACACAATGTGTGTTACAAATTTTAAAAATTAATTTGTAGAAAAATATGACTATTCCATCCACTAAAAGTCCAGGCTATATACAGTGAAAGAGAAATTCATGCAATACTGTGTGTGTGTGTGTGCTACAAAATTTAAAAATTAATTTGTAGAAAAATATGATTATTCCATCCACTATGTGTAAAAGCCCAGGCTATATAGAGTGAAAGAGAAATTCACACAATACTATATATGTGTGAGTGTATATGTGTGTGTGTGTGCATAACCACAATGACACAATGTGTGCTACAAAGTTTAAAAATTAATTTGTAGAAAAATATGACTATTCTATCCACTATGTGTAAAAGTCCAGGCTATATACAGTGAAAGAGAAATTCATGCAATACTATATATGTGTGAGTGTGTGTATATATATGTGTGTTTAAAAATCAATTTGTAGAAAAATATGACTATCCAGGATATATACAGTGAAAGAGAAATTCATGCAATACTATATATATGTGCGCGAATGTGTGTGTGTATACTGAAAGATTATAGGTATAAAAGGTAAAGGTAGTCCCATGACATTAAGTCCAGTCATGTCTGACTCTGGGGTGTGGTGCTCATCTCCATTTCTAAGCCGAAGAGCCAGCGCTGTCCGTAGACACCTCCAAGGTCATGTGGCCGGCATGACTGCATGGAGCGCCGTTACCTTCCCACCGGAGCGGTACCTATTGATCTACTCACATTTGCATGTTTTCGAACTGCTAAGTTGGCAGAAACTAGGGCTGACAGCAGACATTAAATAGTGAGAAGGAGGGGAAAAAATCTGGAAACAATGTAATCTGATGAGGTAGAATGTGATATTTCATTCCAATGCTATATATTTGTCATGACATACCACATGGCAGGCCTCGTCTACTAAACCTCCCAAACGCACCTCAGTGCTACCACTTCATCCCACAGTAAAATAAAGAATTAAAGCAGCGTTAGCTCATGTACAGCTGAGCCTGGGTGTGTGGGTGACAGGCTTTCCTGCACTGGCAGCCATCACTGTGAATAGCGAGGACAAACCCCAATAACCTTGCCCTCACCTTGGCTACAAAGTTGGAGGCAGAGTGTATGAGCCAGGCCCAAAGAGGGCCCGGCAGCAAGGCGAGGAGGCAGGCCGCTCATGCCCGCTGCTCCTCCGTCCCTCCTGGGGACACTGCACTCCTTGTTTCCATGGAGCCACCACAAGAGCCGCATGAGGGACGCTCTGACCTAGGGCAGAAAAGGGGGAAGCTGGCCTCCCTTATGGAAGGGCGCCCTCAGGCCTCAAGCCGCCTCACGGACACAGCCACCAGGGCTCCGTTTCTGACCCGCAATCAATTGACAACCGGCTTCACGGCCGCTGCGCTCACCTGTAACCGACTGACTAGGACATAGTACGGCGCCATTTTGTTCACTGACAAAGATGAAGTCGCCTAGCGATAACGTCACGCGTCGGTTTTTAAAAAGCAGGCCTCAGAGGCGGAGTCTCCGCAGAGTGCGTCGCCGCCTTGACGCAGCTTCCGGGGGCGTGGCTTTCCCAACAGGAAGTGTAGAGTGCAGCAGCAACACACCTCATATTTTTCATTCAGTCTGTGATACCAGTGACGTAAGAGGGGGAGGGGCTCTGTCAGGTCTTGGCAGAAAGATATAACAACTTCGAATCATTCTATTCTTCCTTATATTTCAAAAATAAATGCATACTAAGGCTTTGCCTTGGAAAGAGAGTGGAAACAAGTCCTGTACTCCCTACTGGAGAGGGTAAAAAAATCCCGCTTTTTGTGGCGCCGGGCCCTCTATTTGCTTCCAGGACCTCGAGTCGCGCGGTTTGAAGACAGCCGGCGCGGCGAGGGAAGGCAAAATGGCGAAGCACCACCCGGACCTCATCTTCTGCCGCAAGCAGGCCGGAGTAGGTGAGGCAAAGGCCTCCTCTTCGCTGGTTCGGTATTGGAGGGGAAGGGGGCTGCCCTTGGAGTGGGACTTTGAGGCCTAACAGATCCCTAACATTGAACCACGGCAGTTAAAGAGGTGTCAAGGCATATTTATTTGACAGTGTACATTGCACCCAATGGTTATGTTATTCTACCTGGTGCTTGTGATGTTGGTTTTCCAATAAGGCCAGAGAAACATTGAGCTCCCTCTTGGGTAGGAAATAGTTTCCAGGTATGGGCAAACTTGGGCCTTCCAAGTGTTTTGGACTTCAACTCCCACCATTCCTCACAGCCTCAGGCCCAACTTAAAGTCTTGTACTCATGCTTAAGCAGCTGAGGGGGAAAAGGAAGGGGCCTGAGGCTGTGAGGAATGGTGGGAGTTGAAGTCCAAAACACCTGGAGAGCCCAAGCTTGCCCATGCCTGCATTAAAGGCAAACTTAAATTTAAAAAAATGTCTTCCCCTGCTGGTGAAAGGAAGACATGTCATGTTTAATACATAGTAATATTAAAGCTTGGGATATGTTTCCCCCTGATATGATGGTGACAACTGGCTTATAAGTCTTGAATTCATGAATGAACAACCTGCCATTCTCTAAATAGAAAAGGAGAGAGTTATGGCCTTGTTAGATTTAATACATAGTAATATTAAAGCTTGGGATATGTTTCCCCATGATATGGTGGTGACAACTGGCTTATCAGTCTTGAATTCATGAATGGACAACCTGTCATTCTCAATATAGAAAAGGAGAGGGTTGCGGCTTTTGTCGTCTCCCCCCCCTCCCCCCCAGGGCACCTGGGTTGCCCTTCTGGAAAATGAATTGGTTGGATATGGATGCACTGTTTGCCTGTGGAGAGTAAGTCAAGGCAACTCCTTTTGTGAAATATAGGCTCCATCAACATTGCCATATAATCCAGTTTCTGAAGGCAGATTATCTGCTTTAAACTGGATTATATGAATTTACACTGACCTATAATCCAGTTTAAAGCAGATAATCAACATTCAGAAAGTGGATTATACAGACCCACCGCCAAGAAACTTCACTTGGAGGACCATCATCCTCGAGCTATGAGGGATCGGCTAAGTAAGTCTATGGCACTGTAGATGGGGCCATAGATGTTTCCTGATTGCTTCTTCTTTCCTCAAGATGCGCAGCAGAATCTTTGTGGGGCCATAAAACCCGCTGGAGTGTGCTGAGGAAGTCACACTCTCAGCCTTAGATAATCTTGCAATAGAGCAGTGGTTCTCAACCTGTGGGTCCCCATGTGTTTTGGCCTACAATTCCCAGAAATCCCGGCCAGTTTACCAGCTGTTAGGATTTATGGGAATTGAAGGCCAAAACACGTGGGGATCCACAGCTTGGGAACCACTGCAATAGAGGCTTAGTCGTTTGTGTCACCTTAAATCAGATCAGTAAAAAACAGTAATCATTCCATACAGTTCTGTCTCCGAAGTAGCATATTTTTCCTAATGCATCTTAGTACAATACAATATATTGTTTGTGTAAGCTATTGTGAGTACTCTAGGTAGAAAAAAAGCTAATCACAATATTGTACCTGACTCAGATTGTTTAGGTACAGCTATAATGTTTTAGAAGACAATGTGCAAGACAACTTCTGTACATCCTTGGCATGATCCATTTCATGCACTGGCTCAAATTTCCACCACATGTACACAGACCTTTTCACATGACCTTCTAATTCAGTGCTGTTTTCAAGAAACAGTGGTTATAATATTTGCTCTTGTATTGAGGTGGGAAGGTGTATTTGCTGCAGTGAGAGTCAGCATAGTAGTTTAAGGATTACAGTATGGCTCTGGAGACCAGGGTTCGGATCCCCAATCCCCATTTAGCCATAGAAACCCACTGAGTGGACTTGGGCAACTTACACTCTCAGCCTTAGATAAATGCAAAAGCAAGCTTCCCTTGCCAAGAAAACCTGGGATAGGTTCACCTAAGGTTAACATAAGCCGGGAACACACACAACAACAAGGTTGCTGTAGTAGTGAGCATTTTTTAAACCATCTTCTTGACTGAAAGAGCTCCTAACATAACAGATGCTTACTTTAGACTCCTGCCCTTTCCTTTATGTTCAAAAGTTATCTTATGAGCTTACCTTAATCTGCGTCATTGCTGACCTATGACGTACATGAAACATCAGACGTTGCTATTGTTTGATGGTTTTTTTAAACATAATGATAGTACTTTCTTTGTCCTGGCTTCCAAAAAAGGTATTAATTTTTTAATTTCTGTTGTTTTGAAAATGACGCTCTTTCATATGAGCAAATATAGATTTGGCAGACAGGCAAAAGATAATGCTAGTTTTAATTGTTTGCTTTGGATATAGTACTGTTGACATTTACAATGTATGGCTATGGCTACAGTCCTAAGCGTGCATACCTGGAAATAGGTCCACTGTTTCAACCTCATAAGAACTTTGAAATCATGCTTAATATTTTATGAGTTTTTCAGTCTGGTTTTTGCTGCATCAAAAGCCATATACTCTACTAATCTCTCTCCTACACACTGATGAAAATTGGTTATATTAATGTTTGGTCAAACATGAATAAGGGTAAGAAGTAAGTAATGTTTGACATTTGGTCCTGGAATATTGGAAGTTAGGATTTTATTAAATGTCTAAAAGAAATTATTTACTTTTAAACCATTACACTATGTAGCATGATTTTTGTTCCTGGGTTATAAATGTCATTTCCTAATTGGTTCTATCATAAAAAAAAATGGAAAAAGTTTATTAGACTGCAAAAACTTTGTTTTTGCGGTACATCTTGTAGTACATTTTGCTATAATTTTTCAAGGGATATCTCATAGACTGTCAACCAATTCAACATAGTTTGTGGCAGCCACAAAAATGAAATTTCTGGAGTATAACAACTGCTTTCAATGTTAAGTACTGCACAAATAAACAGGAAATAACACTTTCAAACCAGAAACAGATATTTTTTCAAATTTTGTTACATAGTGTTATTGGCCAAGTCTCACTGCATATGAAAAACATATTGCAGGGTTAAAAATATTGTGAGGAATGCTTTAAACACTAATTTTTCAAATGAATGCTAAGTACCATTATTTTTCTCTTCCTTTTGCAGCTATTGGACGATTGTGTGAAAAATGTGAGTATAACTTCTTATATAAATTGCTGTATTGCATTGCTCCTTATAACTTAAAATATTTAAAGAAAGATCAGTCCTGTTAGATTAATTGTTTTGAAAAGAGGTGGGCTAAATGCTCACCTAACATTATGTTTATGGTTAAAAGTCTCTCTATATTTAAATGTCTGTCTAGAAGTACAATTGAAACACATCATAAGCACGAGAAGTTTCAGTTTTTTGTCTAAATCAGCACACTTTGATAACTAGATGATAAAAGGCTTTTTAAAAAATACATTCAATTTGAATGTCCAATTATAACAAAACTGTCCAGTCTGAAAAGAAATTATATAAATATGGGAGAATAAAATGTATTAAAATACATGTTGATCCTGTATGTCAACTTTCCTTTGTAACACAAAGATAAATTAACAATAGATTAACTCTCTTGTGCAACTGATAAGAAAAAACTGATAAAACTTAGGCAACAAAATACAGATGGGTTGTAAAACAGATCAAAGTCTATGTCCTGTTGTCATTGTCCCCACAATATCATGTTTTTCAAACATCGTTGAGATCTTCTGAAGTTGTGTATTGCTGGACATACTGCTGTGTCTGAATTTTCCCATCCAAATGAGCATTTCAGAAATACTGAGGGCTGCAACAGACATAATGTTAAATCCCATTCTAGGACTATAAAACTAATTCTTTAAGGAAGTAAACCAGGAAAGAAACGAGGAAATGAACACATTCTTTTCATGTAGGTGATAATTTGCAGTATTTTAATAACTTCCATAAACAAGAAGCTCTGTCAGTAGTTTACAGGAAGGGGAATACTAATTTGCATTTTTAAAGCATAAAATAAACTACACCAAATGGTTGTTTCACTCCTTCCACTCCTCACCCCAAACCTTTCTTGTTGCGAGGACTGCTTGGAGTCTCTTCCTTGCCCCCAGGAAGGTAAATAGAGAGGGGAACAGAGCACCTTCCTCAACCCCATGCCATTCATAAATAGCCAGGAGCGTCAAACCACTATTCCAGCCCCGAGTGACTGATCTGGCCATTTTCAGCCTATTGTGCAGATCAGTAACTGCCACAGAACAATGGCGGGGCGGGGTGGGGGAGGCTGCCTGGAAAAAAATCATAAGAGCCTAGACTCACTCTCTCACAGTCCTGCTGCCCCTTTCTGAGAAGATGGAGAAAATCAAGGAATTAGTTAGGGATCTTTGTTAAGAGTAAAACAGGATAAAATGAATCTGTAGAGAGCAACATTATTTTATTATGGAGAAGCAGTAATTTATGTATTGAAACAAACTGGAATTACTGTGCATTGATTTGAAGATGTGAATATTTCATATGAAGTCCATACAGCTTCAGCAAACTGTTGCTGTTTGAATTGAGTCATCATTTCTTCTAGCTAGCTGTGAAGACCAGCCATTTAACCATATTGTTCATAATAATAAAGAACGATTGGTTCAGAAAGGCAGCCTTTTATTCTCAACAGTATTCATAAAGGAAAAGCTGTTTTAAAATGTTAGATTTTAAAGAGCATTTAAAGTCAAATGAACATACCCAAAACAGAGTATCTGGAATGTGGCCTTCAAACTGAAAAAAACTATTCAAATTAATGGACACTAAAGAAGTCCACCCAATTTAAATACCTAGGGTCACTGGCTTCCATAGATGGCGACACAATGCCAGAGGTACGATCACAAATAAATGCATCCTGGTTGAAATGGCAGCAAACTACTATCATTCTGTGTGACTGAAAAATGCCCCAACAACTCCAGGCTAAGATCTAAACTACAGCTGTTCGCCAACAGCCTTCTACAAGTTAGAGTGCTGCCCAGCAACAAAGACGCTTGATCAAGCCCCTAACACAATGGACATGGAAATGCTGAGATGGATACTTGGCTTGGTACTTCTTGACCAGCGGACCTTGGTCTGCAAAGACTAGGAATAAAAGCAATCAGCAAGAAAATACAGGAAGTCTTTTCTTCCTGTGGTGCGACCATATAATGAGAAGAGAACAAACATCAATAGCACAAACATCACTACATCTGGAAATTGCAGGATGATGACCATGTGATCAGCCAAAGAAAAGATGGATGGACACCATCAACAAAGACATGTGTGCTTCCAACCTGAGACCCGAGGATGCCCAAAACAAAGCCCTGTGAAAATGACAGTCGCAATGCTGACTCCTGCATTGGGAAAATAGCTTAGAAAGAAGACTAAAGTTAGACCTCTTATTATTTATAGTAAAGCATAAAGACCTGTTTTCTCTGCTTATACAAAAGGAATTTATAGCATTTCTGTCTTGGAACAAACATTAGAGGTTCACTTTGCATTAAGAAAGAGAATAAAAATAAACAGAAGAAAAAAACTATCAAACTCAGCTGGCCAAGAAGGCAGTGTCTTTGTTCCTTCAGTTACCTTTCTATGCATATAACTTGTGCACCAGTAAGTTGCTTGAGTCTGAAACTGGTGAAATCTTTTGTGTCTATGTGTAATGGACTCTGGACTTGGCAGTAAAGCATCAATTGCCCAAGTCTCTGGCCTTAAAATGGGGCACAAACACAGTGATTTAAAAATACGCTCAATGAAAAGAATATTCAAAAACAGGTCTGTTGGAAGCTATCTGGGACCCAAAGGAATAAATTCAAGATGGCCTTCCATGGCAATCTGGGACTGGGGGCATCAGGGGGCACAGCATTTACCTAGCTACAGGTGACTTGAAATTTATCCAATGGAACAGTTTAATAAATGCAAGTTCCCTCGAGTTTCAATCTGTATGTAATATAATGCTGTATATTTATGTTTAGAATACAAGAAATCACAATTGTAAACATATACTTGAAAGCAAATCCCATTAACTTTACATTTGAATCACGTTCTAATGGACTGTATTTTTGAAAAGGGTATCTTGTCTGTATCTTTTCTGAAATTTGTGTACTTCCTTTTCAGGTGATGGCAAGTGTGTTATTTGTGACTCGTATGTGCGGCCCTGCACATTGGTGCGTATATGTGATGAGTGCAACTATGGCTCTTACCAAGGACGCTGTGTAATCTGTGGAGGTCCAGGAGTCTCAGACGCCTATTATTGTAAAGAATGCACTATCCAGGAAAAAGATGTAAGTGGGGTTACCCTTCTAATGTCTTAAACAATTATCACCTATCACTAAAGTTTACTGCTGGCTAGTGTGCTGAATGAATCTGATTGTCAAAGATATTTGGATCTTGACATTTGTTGTGTTTGTAGTTTCCCTCATCAAAAAAGTCAGTATATACACCCCTCTTTTCATAGAACCTTGACATGAGCACACATGGTGCCTGTCCTGTTGATGGAATTCACTTATATATTAGGTTAGCTAGATAATGTAGTGGTTTGTTTTTAAACTGCCTTAGGTTAATACTGCTATTGATAAAATAGCTTATTTAATTGTGCTTTACAACCTTTTGATTATCATGGTGATTTTTTTCAATACCTCTTGTGAACCTCCTTAGGGTTATTTTTATAAAGTTTTGACGGTGATACATAAAAAGGAAAAAAGAGAAGGAATAAAAATGGTAAGGGATATTGGTGAGGTGGGGACTGAGGGGGGAGGGTCAGAATAGGTTTTAGGTTTTGATTGAGAGACGGATAGGATATAAACTAATTACGTATTTTAACAATTGTTGTAATAAACCTTTTATCTAACGTTCTGTACCATGCATACACATAAACCACTACCAGATACATTTTGATGACAGTCATCTTTGTAATAATCTATATCAAACTTTCCTGCTTGCTGATAGCTCTCAGTTGCATTTGTGGTTTCTTCTTCCTCTGTACCTGGTCATATCTTGCTTTGGCCAGCACCCTAATAGCTAAGTGGCCATTGCTTGGCTGGTGAGACCTACTCAGGCTCATTCTGCCTGCTCTTGAACACCCACAGAGGAGGGAGCAGCATTGTGCTAGGAAATGAGACTTCTCTTTTCTGGGTTATTGTAATTCTTTCCCAGCGTCTCACCCACCTCCATGGCAGGCATCCTCAGAGGTTGTGAGGTTGACCTCACAACCTCTGAGGATGCCTGCCATAGATGTGTGCGAGACATCGGGAGAGAATGCTTCTGGAATATGGCCATACAGCCCAAAAAACCTACAACCCAGTGATTTCAACCATGAAAGCCTTTGACGATACTTCTTTTTTCCACCTCAATCAGCTAGAATAAGCCTAGGTACACCCTTCCAGTTGATCAGTGATTGGGGAGACACCTTTGTACTTGACATCTCTGTTGTTGCATACTAAGGGGAAGTAGCCAGGCAGAAGAAATAGGCTCTGCAGGCCGCTGTAAGCATGCTAGTGAAGCCTTAGCTTCCACTAACATGATGTGGCATCAGAGTCCTTAACTCCATCTAGTGGCAATTATGACATAAATCCAAGATACAGTTTGGGCATTGTTCTTTAAAGAATAACAATGGCATTTTGCATCTCTTTTCAAAATTATTCAAACCCGTGTTTGTGGTTGCTGCTGAATAGAGTAACAAATGATACAAAGTGTTTTCTGGGACCAGAACAGAGAAATCTATGGAGAGTCTTTCTGGTTCTCCATGAGCAGTATTACATACAGTAGAGTCAAGAATCAAGATCAGCTATGTGTACCAATAATACTACCTTTCCAACATTACTTTTGAAATAGCAATCTTTTTTAAGGAACTCATTTCCCACAGGAAAAACTATGAGTGATGCTATTATGTTCATCAGCTTGCAGTTTGACCTTTTGGAAAACTCAGCTGTTATAATTTTGTTGTTAGTTTTTGATTTTAAAAGGTCTTATTGTGTGTACTTTTAAATTCTGCTTGAAATGTGATTTTAAGTGCATATTGTTAAGGTATCAAATTACTGCCTGTTTTTAAGCCACCTTGAGTCACCTTCAGGTTCGAGAAAGGCGGGATAGAAATATCATAAATAAATAAATAAATAAATAAATAAATTTGTAAAATATTTTCTGGCTCTTTCAGTGGTTAAGTATGACAATATACAGGTACTGTGCAGAAAACTGAATCAAGAATAACAGTATAAAACCCTTATCGGGATTTGTGAAAAGTGTGTGATTTGTTCCATCAAGTTCTTTGGCTTAGAGTTAAATATCCCTTTACTTCAAAGGACTTACTCTAGACATATTTGAGTCTGGATTTATCATTTCTCTGGGTCTTTCCCAGTGGATTGCCTTTTTACATATCCTCCAGTCTATGCTTGCCTGTTTTGTCCTTTCCTTTTGCAAAAATGCTTCAAAATCTGTAGAGCCCCAAAGCAGAAGATCACACTGTCCAAATAATGCTGTTTATGGAAATGTAGAGGAAAATTTGCATGTCTCTGGTAGAGAAATGGAATTGAAGTGTTATGCTAAGATTGTGCACTTAAAAGTTCAATAGAGTCTTTGTGGAAGCATGCAAAATTAGCTTTAAGATTAGAGTCTTAGTTGCAGACTACTACCTAACTCTATGCTGAACTTCAAAAGGGAGAATATGTTAGTTATATTTCCAACAAAGCTCTTAAAGTGCCTGTATTTATTACAATGTCAGGTATGTTTTGAAAAGTGCATTTCCTTTATAGAAACATGTTTTAATAAAGATACTCACATACAGCATAAATAACTGTAGGTAAACTATTGCTCTAATTATTTCTAAAACATTATGAAACTAAATATTTTAACATGTAGTATGAAACTAAATATTTCAATATGCGATATGAAAGTAAATATGTAGCATTTACATTCCACGAAGAAGCAGATCTTTCTCAATTATTTAGTCTGCCCAAATTCTACATCAGTGGGCAACTGCTATTTGTGTATAGAGATGATGAACAGATGTTTTATTCCAGTGTGTATAATGCTTTTGACCTTTATTAACAAGGATGTGCTTTCTTACCTTTTTAATTAGTAGATTTTAATCTTTGGGATGTCAACATAATTGGAATAATTTATAATAGACAGAATTATTATGCTATAGAATATTTCTTTCAAAAGCGTTTACAGTTGTTTTCAGGTTTTTTTAAATACTAGCAGTAATGACTTTCCTTTATCTTTTCTAATTGTTTTATCTTTACAGTGTATTCCCACAAAGGAATTATAAATGTTTAGATTTTTCTGAACTGTGTTAGCATTTTAATTAAAACAGTACTTTAAAAGCTTTGTTTCTCTCCTTTGCTTTGGCCTAAATCCAAATGCTAGTCCCAACTGAACAAAACTCGCTGGATCAATAGGAACTTGTTAAGTCAACACTTAATGTAAGTTCCATTGATTTACTGGCCCTCCTTTAATTAGAACATCTGTGATTTAGGTTTATGTTTATTTCCTCTGTCCCCCCCAACAATGTCACACTTTTTTTTTTCATTTTCATAACTATCTCTAGCCAGCTTTTGTATTACAGTTGGGCAAATGTTAATCAGCCTCCCAGCCAGTCTATGCTGTCATTAGTATGAGAAGTCAATTAGAGTTACCCTTATTATAACATACTCTCTCTCCTGTTGCATTTCAGCGAGATGGCTGTCCTAAAATTGTTAACCTGGGCAGCTCAAAAACAGATCTCTTCTATGAGCGAAAGAAATACGGCTTCAAGAAAAGGTGATTTCCCCGCTCCACTATGGCACACCTGCAGAAGACAAGGAGAGTATCTACAATATTTTTGGATTACAATTTTCCAGGAAAGCAGTTAGCTTTTTTGTTTTGTTTATCAATCTTCACAATTTGTAGAAAAATTATCTAAACTAAATATGGAAATTACTTCAGCAGTAGTTAATGTTACTGAGAGATGTCAGCATTCCCGTTATATCTGTGACAGAAGAAAGTCGTTACGATTTCACCCCTATAATTTGCAATCCATACTGTCTTAAACAAGCATCATTAATTTCTTTTTATTAATGCATTGCATTGAATTTATGACCAATCTTGTATTTTCCCTGAAAAAAATAAGCTGTTCATATTCTATATCTTTGAGGATTGTGCATCAATAAAGTTGTATAGTGTTTTCTACCATAAGGTATTGTCTTCGTTACTCTCCAAACTATTCTTTTTGGCCTTTTGTTAGATCTGTTCAGGAAAACAAAACAAAAAAAGGTATACCTTAATACCTTCCATATTTGAAGTGTAAATGTGTGCTTGGCATTGCCCTGACTTGTGTTTCTTGCCTCATTGCCATATGGTTATGTTGTCAAACCCACAATTCTTGCCTACTGCTGAGAAAGTCTGGCAGCCACTTGAGACTAACCCAGTTTTGTTTCATTGTGGTTAATCTCTTGGAACTAGTTCAGCAGCAAGAAAATAACATATTTTTGCTAGTGCAGACAAAGGCCCATAGGAAGCAGGTCATAAAGGATGGGTGTTGCCAGGCCTAAATTATCCTTTCCATTCCATAAATGGAAATGCTGTGACCTGTAATTACCAATCGCAGATCACATCCAGATGTTGAATACAAGTTGTAGTCTGTGTATAAAAGCAATTTAGGTGAAAGAAAGAGGTGTGGCAATAACATGGACTTATAACTACCAAGGCAGCCTGATGGTAGAAAGCGTTTAGCCATAGAACAGGTTCAGTCAGGGAGGAGGCAACAAGCTTTTTGAGTGCTCCTAATCTGGGCCTCTGCTTTACTTTTCAAAGAAATTCTGAGTTTGGCCTCATTTACTTCCAAAGCGTATTGATTGTGTGTTAAGCAAAACATTGATTCAGGATTGCAGCATAGAAGTGATTAACATGGCTTCTTGTTCCAAATGTTTATTGTCACATTTTAATTTGCAGCACCCATTGTTTGATATTTTCGCCCTTCCACAACCTTTTATAAATGTTTTTAATGCTAATAATGCTAAGAAGGTGTTACTGAAATGCTGGAGACCAGTATGATCTATGACCTTAGTTTCTGAAGTAAAGTCCAAATCTTAAGACTCAGCACAGACCTTTACCCATGTCTAGTCATGCAGCACATTCAAATGTAGATTGGGATTTTTTTTTCTTTCTGCCACCTTGACACTTATTAAAGGTCAGGCACTACTGGATCTGACTTAAGCCTGCAGAAAAAAAAATCTCTGGTATGGAATGAAAAAAGATATGTAGGAGAAGATAAGCTAAATGAGTGATGGGATTAAAAAGATGGAAACCATTTGGGAATATGCTTTCTGTATTTGACCTTGCCTTCTTTTGGTTCATTAGATTCAGAATGGGCCATTGGATGGGGAATGAAACTACATTTCCATGTATATTAGCTTGCCATCTTAAATTTGGTTTCTTGTTGGCACCATGTAGTGCTAGACTTTGTAAAGCTTAAAATTCTAGAAATAGATGGCAATAACAAATAAGCTGTTTGTAGAAATTATTGTTTTTAAATTCTGTAATTATTCATTGTAGATTTATTTATTTACTGCATTTTATGCCGCTCTATCTAAACCCCAAAGGGGACTCAACCCGAGTGCTTCCAACCATTTGTATATATCTAGGTGGTGAATAAATTTGCTTTTGCTATCTTCCTGTAATTTCAAATGGGGGTGGGAGCAGAGACATTTGGCAGACTACAGTGCTGGTGGCCTGCCAAATGTGGTGAGTTATGTTCAAGGTGTGACAATCTGTTTTGTTGTATGTCCTGAGAAATTAGTATTAATGGACTGGTGTGTGCTACTTTGAACATAACAACCCACTGATGCATATATACCCACAACTGGCACTGATCTTCTATCCTTCTATTTCAGAATGTAAATATTATTTTAGAAGATCTATAGGCCAGTTCAGCCACTAGAGAAAAAGAGTGGTCTTCTTGCACTAAAATATCTCAATTCAAAAATTATATTCCAGCCTTTTTCTTTCTTCGGTGGCTGCTATGGTCATGTTCCTCATGCAAAAATTACTTTCATTTTTAAAAATTCTACATAAACTATCTTTAGCGTCTTTTGCAAACTTGAAACAAACTGGTGCTTTAAAATCCAGCTATATTTTAGCATGTCATTGCAATGGATGGACTCTCATCTGGAAGGAGAGGGCTACACATTCACTGGGTTTAGGGGCACAGGACTCCCAGAAAAGTGAAAAAAATACAAAATTGCTATTTTTTTCCTGAAAGTACACCCTTTTAGGAATCTCTAGCTCAGGGTTTCCCAAACTAAGGATCGTGGGCTGGATGTGGCTCTGCAAGCTGATTTATCCAGCTCTCACCCTAAACTTTAGATTTAGGGTTGCCCTAAGTCTGAAATGACTTGAAGGCATGCAACAATCCTAATAAACTTCACTATCTCATCAGCCAAAATACTGGTTTATTGATGTTAAAATTCTTCTCCATGTTAAATGTTGTATTGTTCTTTTATGGTGTTGGGATTGTGTTTTGTTTTTGGCAGTACAAATAAGATATGTGACATTTGACTTTTGTTTGTGACACTACAAATAAAATATGTGCCGCTCAGAGAGAAGGGCGAGATAGAAATGTATTAAATAAATAAATAAATAAATAAATAGGAATTTGTTCACATTTTTGTTTCAAACTATACTCTGCCCCCCCCCCCACCCCCAACAGTCTCAGGGCTATGAACTGGCCCACTGCTTAAAAAGTTTGAAGACCCCTGCTCTAGGTCCTTCAGCACACCGCTAGGGTCAACCTCTGGAAGTTGACCATAGAATACCCTGGAGGACCTAGAGATTCCTAGAAAGAACATTTTAATCAAATGTAGAAAAGTCAAACCCACAATTGTGGATGCCCAAATGTATATCGCACAGAAAATGTCCTGGCACCAACTGAATTCCTGTCAATAAGAATAAGCTAGTAAAAACTATGTTAGTAAGAATGAGATGGCAAGTTTTGATCTCACAAAACTCCAGTGAAGTGTTTTATATTTATCCAAATGAATACATGGGAAGTAATCCTGTATGTGAGAGGAAATACATGGCTCTTGGAAGGATACCAAGCCAAACCCGGCAACCCCAACCATAATCAATTAAGTCTATTACTATCAGCATGAATCTATCCCTTTGTATGAATGGGGTAGACCTATCCTGGGGTGCCTTTCTTCAGATTAGTTAAATGTAACACTGGATCATGATGCTTTGACTGTAATCTTAAGTGTTTTTCTATTATTTGCCTTCCAAAGTTGAAATGATTCTCAGAGAGATCCGAATACTAAGCAGATCTCTATGTTAATGTAAAAGAAGGGACAATTTGGAAGCTTCAGTTAGTTCTGTTTGATCTTAATTCATAACTGAACTTATCTTTAATAATAACTTACTATTCTTGGATTGAAATTAGACAGGTGACAAATAAGATTTGTTAATGTGTATCTGAAATTCTTGTTTTTTGCCATGTACTCATTCTGAATAACTGTCTGACAAAGATCCTGTAACATATTTTGGACAAGAAAAACTGTGTAATAAGATTATCTTTTATCTGTTTTGCATAGGTATTATAGTACTCTGTATACAAAGTGTTCTGTTTTAATTAAGGTAATAATAACTTAGTTCCTCATGGCTTCTCATCATAATTGCAAGGAACAGCCAGGTGGAAAATGTTGGTTAAAAATGTTACCAGAGAATCAATAACCTATCTTCATAGGACATTTCCTGTAAAGGCCATTGCAATGAGAATGTTTTCAAGAGATGTGATATACTCTTGTATTAATTTCATTAATCTCAGAGGAAAATATTTTGTGAAAAATCTGCTTCTTAGATTATAATCTAAGATATTACCAGATATTGCCTTCAAATTAATCCAATTTATAAAAGCATTGCTACATTCTGCTGCAAGTCTTTGTTCTCCAGTATATGAACACTTGGCTGAATTATACAAGAAGAGTTTTTCCACTATTTCTCAGATCAAGAAAAGGAGTCACAATAAGTAAGCTAGTAGTAGGTCATGTGAGGAGACATGGAAGGGCCTATTAGTAAGTACTTGAATCATTTAGTCACATGCTTGGTCTAATCATCCTTCTCAGCTTTACATGTGGCCATCCTAACATGGATGTGGACAGATGCTTCTCTAGAACTGAAATCCTTTCATAGGTTTGTCAGGTGCTACACTCTCAAGCATGTTACATCAGGAAGGCAATTGGCTAATCGAGATCTGGATCTACTGGTAAATTTTGTAGCAGGTTGGAAGTAGATCAATAGTTCTTGCTCCCAATAATTAAATTAATAATTCACCTGAACATTAGGAAGAACTCAGTATTGGTACGAGCTGTTCAACAGTGAAACTCACCGCCTCAGAATGCAATAGAGCCTCTTTCTTTGGAGGCTTTTAAACAGGCTGGATGACCATCTGCTTTGTGCTTTTCCTTCATGGAAGGGGGTTGTGCTGGCCGGCCCGTGTGGTCTCTTCCAACTCTGTTATTCTGTGATTCTAAAGTAATATTGTACCACAAAGTCTAAATAAATGAATTTGGAAGAGGACTTCAGGAGAAAAAGACAAAATATAAACTTACATACAAAGAGAAAGACATATAGAGAGCTGTCCTTAAAGTTGCAGTAATCTCAAAGACATCATACATTTCTAATGCTTCAGGGGGAGTTGTGCCTCTTCTTGATCCAGTCGAGATACACTTGAGGTGCAGTGGACAACACTCCCATTTCCTTCCTCAAAATATCCAAGCCACTGTAGATCTGCCCTCTATGCCAGAGGCCCACATTGGATAATTGTTTGGGATGAACAAGCCTTCCCCTTTGAAATTGCTTGTGTCGTGTACCATCACAGTTTTTTAATAAATGCTTTTTGGCCAATTGTTTCCTCATTTAGAAGCCAGGAAAGAACTAATTTCCTCAGGGTGTAAGTGTCAAATGATGTGAAGGCAAAGAATCCTGTGTGATGACCAAGTGCTAATTATGTCCATTATAGTCTGACTAGTCTTTCCTGGTATTAAAACACTGCAACAAAATTAGTGTAACAGAAGGGTGTTTTTATTTTCTATCTCCTAGTTGATTCAATAGGTGTCATCTGACATATTAACTAAGTTTTGAGGAGTGCCTTGTTGTTGTTGTTCATTCGTTCAGTCGTCTCCGACTCTTCGTGACCTCATGGA